ATCCTTAGCCCAAGGGCCAGAGCCCGAAGGTGAAGGTTTAGGGCTTCCTGGAAAGCCCAAGTGAGCATCTGCAGGCGCCTGCTTGCAACTAACTTATAGAGGGCATTCCCTAACACATGACACAAGTGGAAGCTTGGCCCTCCTGCTTCCTATCTGCCCCTCAGGTGGATCTGTCTGCCTATCTGAAAGGCCTTAACCATGTTTCCTTCCCCTCTGAGTTTGCTTCCTCTCTGTGGGACCAAAACTACGCTGTATGAGGGCGGCGTAGAGGTTATCTTCCCGAAAAAGCACCTGGCAAGAATTTGGAATCCACCGATTATCTTGTTAGGTCTGTTTTCAGAATACAAAACACAAAAATTACAGAATTTTTGATACAAACCTTTCTTTCATTATCTTCACAAGGACTTTCATCTTATTTTTCCTATTATTAAAGAAATATAGTAATCAACTATCTGCAAGAAGGACACTGTCAGATAAACCATTCCTCACTTTCCCAGTTGCCGTACAGACATTTCAGGGCTTCCTCTCCTGCTCTGACCTGGCCTTGCTCCTCCCATTTTCCACCCAGTTCATCAGGCACTACACCTTTCCTACTCTAAATTGTTCTCCTGCACTTCTCATTAAGTATTTTCTACAGAACAGGACACATTATATTCTCTGCTGCTCCTGTGGGTTTTCATTCATAGAGCCCCACCTTCAGATGTGTGCGCCGCTCCGCCTTCCTGTTTCCCCAGCACTCGCTTCCCACTGGATGGGCAAAGCATCAACTACTCATCGGCCCCCAAGGATGATCTCACTTGTTTCTACCTTGTGTTATTAATGTGCATATTTGTGGGATATTCCACTCGGACAGTTCTCGAGCCTCCAATTTAGGTAAAATAGTGTGCGATGAGCACAATCTGACCTAGGTAAAAAGTATACACTTCATCTTTATTAGTTAATTAATGTTGATGATATTCCATTTTAAGGTGAAAATATTACTGAAGTGTCAGAGATCGTCAGAGTTACCATCAGTGTAGAATTAAAATATTTAAAGCATTCTGAGGATGAAGAGGTGCCCGAGGAAAACAAGGCTCTATTTTTTAATTCTGCTCTTGATTTCACCCACTTCTGTACCAGTAGCATGCGTCATAAATAAACCACTTGTCCACATTCCCTGGGCTGGAGGTGAGCCATATCTGATCCTGACACCCACGCTGACAGAGCTCCTCCCGGCCCGCGCTGTTCCAACTCCGTTCTAACCACAGCAGAGAGGGGCTGGGAGAGGCGGTGATGAGGAGTCCATGCCTGATGTGCACCAAGATTCTGCTCGGGATGATGCAATGTTTGCACATAGACAGAGCTGACGGCCGCACAGCACTGCAAAGGTGCTTGTTACCACCGAATGGTACTCTTAAAAATGGTTAAAATGAATCATGGAACACTACATCAAAAACTAATGTGTAATATATGGTGATTAACATAACAATAAAAAAATTTAAAAAATAAAATATAGGGTAAAATTTGAAAAAAAATGGTTAAAATGGCCAGTGTTATGTTTTATATATACATATATTTTACCACAAAGAAATGTTAGATGATAACAGAAACCCTTATGATCAAACATCAGAAATCTGTATTTTAAAAATAATGTTCACAATAGGGGCGCCTGGGTGGCTCAGTCATTAGGCATCTGCCTTCAGCTCAGGTCATGATCTCAGGGTCCTGACATCGAGCCCTGCATTGGGCTCCCTGCTCAGGGGGAAGTCTGCTTCTCCCTCTCCCACTCCCCCTGCTTGCGTTCCCTCTCTCCCTGTCTCTCTCTCTCTCTGCCAAATAAATAAATAAAATCTTTTTAAAAAAATGTTCAAAATAATATGCTCTCTTACAACTTTGCAAGGTAATTTTCATTTTACTCCACGATGAGAGACTTAAGTTTAAGCACCTTAGCCACGGTAACTCAAAGCAAATCCACAAATGGTTATGAGACACTTATTGTGTATAAGGCACTGTCCTGGACACTGTGAAGGACACATGATGCCAAGACACATGCTCAGCCCCCTAAGGATTCCACAGTGGGGGCAGGGAGAAACAACACACAAAAAGAAAACTAATATAGTCAGTGTCTAATAAACATCACATGACTCATTTTTCAAATTAACAGAGAAATGAAACACGAAATAAAACTAGAGTTCACGAGAGCAGATAGAGATCACCATGGCCTCTTGGCCAGGAAGTGTTAATTAGATATCGTTTCTTTATTATTATTACTAGCTGTTATAATGTACATAAAATGCCTCCTTTCTTTCTCATCCCTCAAAAACCTAGGCTAGATTTTGGGGCCAAAAACCTGCAACTCCATGGGGCGTTTCATGCCAATAAGGAAAAGACACCAAGGAAGTTCTGTTCGGGTCACATGGGAAGCAAAGATGGTGCTGTGTGGACGTCATAGCAGGAAAACTCTTGTAGCCACGAGTAACACAACACCTGCTGTCACAAGGAACAGACCATGGAACCTGACACGGTAAATAGCTCTCCTGAGAAATTAGGCACAACTAGCATATGGTCTCACGAGGCAGAAGAAAACACAGCCTTGGATCATTCAAAACTGGGTTCAAATCCAAGCTCCCCCACTTCCTAAGTATAGGGTGGTAGCAGGTTACTTACGCTCTCTCCTATCTCTTTGCTTCTGGTCTACCAAGTTGGGTGTTGACAGCCTGGGTGAAGAGTGCACGTGAGGTGAGGCGGGCCCGTGTGGCAGGGCTAGCGCAGCACCTGACAGAGAAAACACTCAGCAAACGGGGGGTCTGTTCCCCCCAGACCCTCCCTGCCCACCTCACGTCATTAATGTCTGGACAAAAGAGAATGGGGGTTCCACTGCTCCATATCACCTTCTTTCCCCAGAAGCTGAGATTGCAAACCAAGACATTTAAAATCTAGGTGCTTGGGTTTGCCATTATTCCGATGATGCATTAAGAAAGACACTTTGATCCACTCTAAGAAATTAAATCTACTGATTGATGTCAAGTTACTAATACAAAAACTCCCAGAGGCCCGAGCAGATTTACATAACAAGTCAATAAGGCATGGATGACGAATTTCAGTGGCCAGTCCACACAAGGCACTCAGGCTATTGCATAAACTCAATGTCATCACAATGCCTGTGCCCTCTTTCTATTAAAATACGACATTCGGCTATTACACAACTGAACCCCATGAGTGCCCCTCTACGCTACTCCCCCCAGTGCAGACAGGTGCTCTCTGTGTCGCTTCCCCTAATGCTCCAGGACAGACCCTGCTCCAACGCTCAGAACACACTCTTACACTCTGGCACCAAAGCAACTAACTACTCTCCTTCCTCCTCAGTTGAAAGTCTTCCCAATCATCTAGATACACACTATATGCTTTCACTGAAAACCACCTCCAAATCAAAACGATTGAAGAATAGAAGGAAGGAAAAGAGAATTGTTTGAAAGGGTATTCCCTTTGATTGTTTTAGATCATGAACTCGACTGATGTTGAAAAACCCAAACAAACTTCATTTCCCACAAACGCCCTTTCCAAGGTGGGCAAGAAGTAGGAGACAACTCTGAGTAGCCCCAGCCCCTCCCACCAGCCCTCTGGGCTCCCTTCTCTTCCCTCTGTTCTTAAATGGGGAGCAAGTTTAAGAGTGGAAAGGGATGGCTCACAAGGCTGTTGCATCCCCAAGTTTACTTATAGTTCTGGAGGCTTCAGCATTAGAATAGACCCAGACTTGATATCCCAGACTTATTACACAACCTCCTGCCTGGGGCCAAAAGGTTTAAAACAAGAGGGCCTCCTGGGGGCGCTCATCTGACTCTTGATTTTGACTAAGGTCATGGTCTCAGGGTTGTGGGATCGAATCCCATGTTGGGCTTTATGCATGGAGTCTAGTCTTAGGACTCACTCTCCCTCTGCCCCTCCTCCCCCAGCTTATGCTCTCGCTATCTCTCCCCCAAAAAATTTTTAAACAAGAAACCGCCTTGGGAAAAAAAAATCTAGAGATAGATAGAATTTTGAAAACAAATCCCCAAAAATCTATTTCCTACCTACATGAATTGTATATTTAGAGTAAATTTTGTCTTAAATATTCTCACCACAGGGACACCTGGGTGACTCAATCAGTTAAGCATCTGACTTTGGCTCAGGTCATGATCTCAGGGTCCTGGAATCAAGCCCCAAATCAGACTTCCTGCCCAGCGGGGAGCCTGTTTCTCCCTCTCCCTCTGCACATCCCCCTGCTCATGCTCTTCTCTCTCAAATGTTCTCACCACCAAAAAAAAAAAAAAAAGGAAATGGTAACTGTGGTTGATATGTTATATAGCTTTAATTGCCAAATATTCCTCAATTAAAAAATTAAGATAAAAGGAAAGTAAATTTTGTTTTCCCTATACACATACTTTATATAGACTAGTCACATACTCTCATAGAGTACCACAGGAACATGCTTCCTGCTTTGATGGCACATCCTCAGCATCTGGAGGGAGAGAGGGTAACAGAAGCGCTCTCCTGGGCTAGCTCATGCTGCCATCTATGGAGCGTGCGCCGTATGCGTCCCTGCTTTCCCCAACAAGACGAGCTATTTACACAACACCAACGCCCCACAAAGCAGAATGTCCACGGTGTCCACAGACGCCTACATACCTACACACCAGCTGCTCTTCACCTCCCGACTCTCCCCTCTAAAAATATATCTTGAAATTTGTTGGGAAAACAGTTTTCAGTCTGTGACTAGAAGCACAGTGAAAGGTAATTAGGACAAGTATAGAAGCAATTAAAATTACTCACGTAATTTCTGGCACCCAAGAGACCAGATCTGAGGTACAGACTGCCTGGGAAACACACTATGTTTCTAATTCCATGCTGATCTATATTCAGAATGCACTGGGCTTTCTGATTCTTTCTTCATCAAACGTGAGCTCCACCCAATGTGTTAAAAGGATAAGGAGGTGCCTTCCATCCACAGCATTAAATACAAAATAAAAGTAGAATCAGCTCACCTTGTTGCTTTCAAAATCAGGGGGGCTATTATGTATCTCTTCGTCTTCCTTAACTATCTCCGCTGGTGTCTAGGGAGAAAACATACCACGTTTCAGGTTTAGTGGCAGTCAAGCTATGTCAAACCCCATGAAAGGAGCAGAGGGGGTGGGTCGTGGAATTCTGTGAACCACTTCTGTGGACAGAGCTGAAAATGTGGCTCGTTTTTCCACAGTGCCTGCCCTGTGTTTTTGCCTTTTGCTCCACTTACGAAATGCTAGCCTATTTAATGAAATTGTCGGGGAAATCCTTAAGGAGAAACACTAGAAACCCCTTTCATGTAAACAGGAGTGGATTTTCCCTCCAGATGCCTCTTGTCAGCAGGTAATAAACGCCTAGGATCCTCTGTTTGGCCCTGGGGATCCCAGTGGGGACCCAAACCAGAGCCCTCTTTCCCTGTGTTCAAGACACGTCCGCCGCCACCTGGGCGGTCCTGCTCCTCACACAGCAGTGCCTGCTCACATCTTTGTGTATTATTTCCCAGTTTTTGTGACTTGTTGGCAAAAAGCAGTGAGCTGTGTTTAACTGGTGCCCTGGAGCCTCTCCACGAGGGGAAAGCCATGTGGTTCTGTGGCTAAGAAAGAAAGGGCCCCCCTAGGGGCTACCGTATTTCTGTACGCGTCAGAGTAGGCACGCTCAGCGCATGTGCCACGTGTCCATCGCGGGCTGGCGAGGGGGTCTCCTGCTCACAGTCACCCAGGATGCCAGACCGATGGAGACGCCAACTCCCCGTGTTTCCATGGCTTCAGGGGCAGAGGGGCAGTGTGGCTCTTAACACCTCTGCCAGGACATGTGGCTCATTACGTCCAGCCGCCTGTCGTCCACAAAGGCAGGCTGCAAAGCCACACCTGAGGTAAAGTGGGTGAAGAAGTATTCTCTCACCAAACAACCACAACTGGTGTCCATGAAGAGCCCTAAGGACCCCACAGCTCCTTCCAGCTGACCCTTGAAGGCGCAAGACTTAGTCTGTGGCTATGCAGACATGTGGGTGACTACTCAACAGCCAGTCCCACTAGCCCAGACCTCGGCTGTCCAAATGCTCCAAAAACTCAGACCATATGAGCATTCTCGTCCTGTAGCCTACGTGGAAAGTAATCGTGATGAATAAGACTCTGGGGACTGCTCCAATTACATGAAAAAATAAACACAAAAAGCACATTCTTTCAAAGAGTAAGTGATGTGATTTGTCCAACCATTGCTTCATGCACTTATTCGGCAATATACACAGAATGCCTGCATCCTGCAATCCTGACATATGACAGTGACAGTGCATGCAAACCAGCGTGGCCCCCAAGATACTCAGTCAGACGGGGAGATGAACATTAATTAAGTCACACAATTAAATATAAAACCACAACTGTGATATGCTTTGTAAGAGAGATTCGTGGGGAGAAATAGGCTATCATGGGGTTTAACATACACAGGAGACCATGGAACGTTTCCTCTGGTGTGACTACAACTTGAAATATGAGGAATGAGAAACATTAGTATATAAAAAGGCAAAGAGAGAATGTTGCAGACAGAGGGGACGGTGTGTGGCAGTCTTGCTGCAGGAGAATGCACTGAGGTTGAGGGGGACGGGGGATGGTCAGCCTACGGAGAAAAAGCCATAACAGTAATCTAGCCAGGGAATGGAGGCAGTCAGGACCGGTGGGACGGTGGTGTAGACAGAGAGGGTGGGTCGCTTCCAGACAGATTTAGGAGGTAAAACTTGCCGATGTTGAGATGGTCTGGGTATGGAAGAGTTGAAACAGTCAGTCTTGGGAATATCTCTAAGTTTGCTTTGGTCTTACTGGACGGACGATGTCATACACCTACTGAGACAGGGAGCGAGCAAGGTGTGGGGATGGTGTGGAAGGGCACGTGGGTGTTCTCACCGTGCTGAGCTTTAACGTCTCAGAACATCTAACTAGTGATGTCAGTTCACAGTGTGTGTCTATCTGGATGTGTGTGTGTGTGTGTGCAGATGTGTGTGTGTGTCTCTGGATGTGTGTGTGTGTGTAGATGTGTATGTGCATCTGCACCTGGAGCCCAGAAAAGAGACCTGCAGAGACACTGACACCACAGTGATGGAGAATTCTGTCTGTGCAGCAGGTCTAGAGCTACAAGAAATGTTGCCCTGACCCGAGCCCTGCAGACCTCCGATATTCCATGCCAAGCGGAGGATCAGAAGTCTACGGAGAAGAATAAGAATGGGGCCCCTGCTGGCTCAGCCAGAAGAGCGTGTGACTCTTGATCTCGAGGCTGTTTCAGCCCCACACTGGGTGTAGAGATGACTTAAAAAATAAACTCTTTAGGGGCACCCGGGTGGCTCAGTCGGTTGAGCGTCTGCCTTCGGCTCAGGTCATGATCCCAGGGTCCTGGGATCGAGCCCCGCATCAGGCTCCCTGCTCCGCGGGGGGTCTGTTTCTCTCTCTCTCCCTCTCCTTCTGTGTGTGCTCTCTCGCTCTCTCTCTCTCTCTCTGGCTCTCACTCTCTCTCAAATAAATAAATAAAAATCTTTTTAAAAAATAAAATAAAATAAACTCTCTAAAAAAGAATGAGAATTGAGTGGCCAGACAGATGGAAGGAAGGAAAATCAGGACACGGGTGGGTCTTGCCAAAGAAGGAGAGTATTGGAGGAAAAGGGAGGGGCCAAAATGTCAGATGAGGGTGAAGGGCCAAGTGTGGTGAGAACTGAGGAGTGCACTGGGTTTGGGTCATGAGGTCGAGAGCTGTTTCACGTCATTGTGGGCAGAAGCCAAGAGAGGCCCAGGAGAGGGGAGGGGATGGAGACAGTGCGGGGAGGAGGGGCCCTCCCCCCAAGGACTGGGAGAGACGGAGTTGCACAAAGGCAGGAGGCCAAGGGAGGGATCATTCTGGTCATAATCGGCTTGCTTCCAGCACGTGCACCATCCGGCCAGGAGGATTCGAGTGCAATCCACCCAGAAAAGGGTGAACAAATACCTGACAGCATAAGACCCTTGAGGGGCTCGGAGGGGACGGCAAAGCCGGGAGAAGGCGGGACGGGCACACCCACCGTGCAGACCAGAAATTAGTGTGCAGATCCCGCGGTTGCCTAGCCCCTAGCCAGTCCTCACCTCGCTCCTCGCTAAAAGAAAATCCTATCTCAGGCGCTAGCCACACAATTCAGAAGAGCCTGGGCCCCCTTCCAGACACCGGATGCTGACACTGGTTGGTCTACACCACCAGAGGCCCATTGCCTCTCCCCAACTACTGACAAGGACGAGGCAGACACATGGCGTAGATTTCGGGAGGGTCCCTGGGAAAGACTTTTCTCACTACTTGAAAAGGCCACAGGGAAGGAAATGGTCTCTCCATTCTTCTGGTCAGCATTCATGTGTCTCAGTGTACCACCCAGAGCAGAGGCAAACATCTTGGAGACCGTGAGGAAACAAGGCTGAGGCCAGAAGCTGGTGTGCAGAGGGAGGTGGGCAGGGGAACGCCAGCAACCGGGTCCTCAGTGACCTGGCCGAGCCGATGAGCCGGCCGACGCTGTGAGCTCCTGTCACGCAGGAGGCCTCCAGACTTGTGTTACATGGCCTGGCCTGATATGCGTTCCTTATGTGTAAGCCACGTTCCTGTAGCTTTCTGTTCTTTCCAGCTAGAAGCACCCTAACAGATACAGTACGAATTATGCTTTTTAATTTATTCATTGAAGTGAGCACCCCAAGGACCTTTGTTAGCTTAGTCCGAGTTACTCCATGCTCCTAAAAGTGCCAAAGCTTTAAAGCTCCATTATGTTTTTTCTAATTAAACAATTCAGAGATTACACAAATTAATTTAGACTTCTCCTAATTAGTCCAAATTATTTTGGTTTTACTTTAGTTTGTGTCTTATTTTTAGCTCCTTCTCTAGAGTGAAATGAATTACAGTTCAGGTGCATTGCTCCGGTTGCTACAGGGAATCTAAGTAAAGGCACTCTCTTCTACACTGTCTCCTGGGGGCTCTGAAAAATCACTGAAATTCAGTAGATGTCAGAACTAGACCCAGTCTTGGGCGCCTGGGTGGCTCAGTCATTGGGCGTCTGCCTTCGTCTCGGGTTGTGATCCCAGAGTCCTGGGATCGAGCCCCGCGTCGGGCTCCCTGCTCAGGAGGGCTGTTTCTCCCTCTTCTACCGCCTCTGCTTGTGTTCCCTCTCTCGCTGTCTCTCTCTTTCTGTCAAATACATAAATAAATAAATCTTAAAAGAAAAAAAAAAGAACTAGACCCAGTCTTCTATGATTTCAGTCAGTCCACCCTTCCCATTCACGGACAGGACATGCCCAGCACCTGTTGGGGAATGACAACCCAATGGTACGCTAGTAGAACAGAATTGATGAGAAATGCTAAACTGTACCCCCACCCCAGAAAAAAATCAAAGATCAGAGTCCAGAACTACACGGAGCCCACTATTCCAGGTACTTTTCTGTCTTTTTATAGAGTTTATGAAAATAAACATAACCTTAAATCTGGCATAAGACATTGCCTTTGTGAAAAATGTGTACTCTAAATCAAGTAGAATTTTAACATCAATGTTTTAATATCTGGGTGCCAGTTTTGTATAGATTGTAAGAGTTAAGAAATGTTTCCTTAACACTGGGGCATAATAACTCAGGACTTTGAAATGAAAGCTGGTGTGAAAATTTGCCTGTCCCGGAGAATTAAAGCTGATAGAGCATCTCTCTTTTAAACATCCACTGAAGACCTGTTGACAGAAATGTTGGCAAGGGGACACATTATGTGCTACTAAAAGCAAAGAGAAACAAAAAACATTGAAAATAAATTATAATTTCTTAAAAACAAAAGCGCAAGGGGAGACAATGTAGCATAGGAAGAAAGAAAAGGCGGGTAAAGATCAACTACAATCCACGTCCAGAGAGACGACCACCAGCACAACACTTCGTAACATCCACAGTCTCTCCCTGTCCCTTCTGCTGTATTTCCCACATACCATGCCTTCCGTCCTGGTCAGGAGACACCTGGTTCAGGACAAATAGGGTTCAGTGACGTCGAAACTTTACTAGTGATGACACATGTAAGCAAGATCACACAGTTAACTGAGAAGAGCATCTCTGACCTGGCACCACGATTTCATTCCTCTCATGAGCCAAAGACAGACATCAGTGGAATTCTATGAGCGTCTCAATGCCAAGTGGAGGAAAGCTCAAGGATGAGCTTTTACCGCCAGGAACCCTGGATGTAAGAAGGTGCCTTCAACACGGGCAGGAAGAAGTGGCTGTACAGAAGCCAATGACAACTGTCTCCATTGGGAGAAAACCAAGAGACAGAAGGTGGAGGATAGAAACAGTGGCATGTATCGCTGGAAGTACAAACCGATTTTTGTGAGTAAATCACAAAGAAGACAACTGGAAGACAGGACCACAGAAATAGGGGCATTTTAGGAATCAGAACACGGGTCAAAATGCACAGTTAACAGTCATCTTGCCCTGTCAGGGACAGCGAGGCTCAAAGCAGCCATGGCCTCTCCTCACCGCTAAGTTTCTGAAACTCCCTGCCCCACATTCCAACCCCCCCAACCTCCCCTCTCTGCACAGCAATGAGAGATTCTCAAACCGACTTAAAAGCACAGGGAAGTTTCTAGCCCTTGGAATACAGGAAAGATTAAAGGCCACACAGTGTGAGTCTTGCTCATCACCCCAAGAAGTGGACATTCCATGATGTCACCTACCAGAAGCAAAGGACAGCCCACCTGCTCTAGTCATCAAAACTTTAACCTGGAGTCATCACTCAGCGATGGCAGCTCAGCGACAGGTAGCGATGTTGCCATGGTAAACAGAGCGGCCTCCAGCCTGTGCTTGCGCCTCACTGATATTCCTGCCTTCTGCTGACAACAGGTGCCATCAACTGCAAATGAGTACTCGCCACTGCAACTATCCCCTCGGTTTGGAGGATGCCCGATTCTTGAGGTGCCCCTCACCGGTCTAGGCTGGACTCCAAATTCATAAATTGATTGCTTGGGATGTTATATTTTGTAACACTGTGTCTTTACAGCAACACTGAAATAAAGACAAGGTGATGCCACAAGCATAAGAAATAACATTGTGACATCGTCAGGCTCGCCCACAGGTTAAAACCAGTTACTTGAAAACATGACTTGGGCGCCTGGGTGGCTCAGTTGGTTAAGCGACTGCCTTCGGCTCAGGTCATGATCCTGGAGTCCCGGGATCGAGTCCCGCATCGGGCTCCCTGCTCGGCGGGGAGTCTGCTTCTCCCTCGGACCCTCCCCCCCCCATGTGCTCCCTCTCTCTCTCATTCTTTCTCTCAAATAATTAAAATCTAAAAAAAAGAAAACATGAGCAAAGTACTCCAGGTTATTATAAAAGCCTACACCATCATCAAATAGTTTAACACTAAGGCCAGACCCTCCTTCATTAATGGACTGGGAAGTCCTAAGGGCATCTTCCCCTCCTCCCACAAGGAAACCAGTAACCCCAACACGCACCAGAGCTCACCCAGCGCACAGACACAGAAGTTAGACAAACACACGGTTCTCCAGGTATGTGGGCCACTTTGATGCAGACCCCCACCCAGGCCAGGGCTGCCAGTCATAGAGCGCCATCCCCTGCGCTGAGGACCCCGCCCAGGGAACCTGCCAAACCACATCCTGCTCTCCCTGCTCCACAAGACCACCTTCGTCCCTCCCCAGGGCAGAAAAAAAAATCCTTGGATTCTGCGTGCTGGCAGGGCCTACACTGTGTTTCATGGGGATCCTAAAAGGAAAACCATTCCTGGGGGAGGAAATCAGAGTTAACCTAAAAGCTTAAACATTATTGTAATTTGGGGACTTCTCTGAAACATGGAATATGCTAACGCACACTGTGGTTCCCTGAGGGACAGATGGGAAAAATAGTGCTTCCCAAACATAAATGACCACAGGGACCTTGTTTTCAAAGATGCAGAACTCAGTCTGCAGACTTGGTCTATCTACAAGAATTTCACTTCAACCTGCTGTGCCTTGCATTCATTTATCCAATCACCCAGGATTTTCTTGCATCTATTCAATGGGACTTAATAAGCATGTGCTGAGCCCCTGCTGGGTGTCAGGAAATGGCACAGTGGGAGAATACCTCCCCAGGTGTGCGGTGCCCCCATGCCTCACTCAGCTCCTCCAGCCCCTCATCTCTGGCCCCCGCAGGTGCAGCAGGTCTTTGTCTCTGCTCACACTCACACACACACACAATGTCACAGGAAGGGTGCTGGCCTAGCCCCCACTCGTCTAGTCTTAATGTCCATTTATGCAGCCATAGCTGGGAGTCCCATTGTCTCCTTGTCCTTCAAAGCTGCAGAACTTGCTTTAATACCGTCCCCTGACAATTAGGATGCACTGAGGATGCAACTAGGATGCAACTCAATGCACTGAGACATCAGCTCTCCCTGGTGTGCAGGAGAATGGTCAGACAGAAAGCAGCACAGCAGCGGTTCTTTCTGGTTCTTTCTGAACACCCCCCGGCCTCCCCCGCTAGGTGGCCTGGCTCTCCTCCTCTCTCTGACCACCTCTCCCACCCTTCCTGACTCCCCTCCCCTGAGCATCTCCCTCCCACTACACACCCTTCTGGGGAACCCCTCTCACCACACAACCTCGAATACAATGGAAATTAACTCTAGCAACAGAAACTCATGAGTATGTTTATTGATCACAATTATGAAAATAGTATTTGTGACACTAGGGTTTTACTTGTATTAAAAACTTGCGTCAGACACTCATGGTCCACAATCCAGAACAATAACATATCAAGGACAATAATCAACATTGGAGGAGGAGCGGGGGGGGTGTTAATTTTTGGTATAAAAGTAACTGCCTAAAATATCTTAACTTATTTATTATAAAAATTCTTAAATGTACAATAAAAATATAGTGTTAGTGTGGGTTTTAAGAGAAAATTAAATCTTTTGATCATTTCTCAACATGTCAAGGAAAAGAATAAATAATATCACTAGCAATTTGGAAAATACAACGGGACACAATGGGACAGTGCTCAAAATGCTCAAGGAAGTGGCTAGTGCCTTTACATGGTCTGTCACACCTAGTCATATTATCGAGGGAAAGGAAAGTAGCAGAAGTTAATAATAAAGTGAGAAAATTAACAGTGACTGATTTTCAAAAGAGGAGCCAAAAGCTTGCTGTCATCTGGGTTTGGCGCTCTGGAACCACAAACAGCACAGGGGCCAAGTCTATGTCAGAGGGATAAAAATGGTACTCAAATGCAGACATTGACCTTTTACAGAACATACATTCTTTTCTCAAGAACTAACAATTAGAAATGTGCTTCTAGGGACACCTGGGTGGCTCAGTCGGTGAAACAACTGCCTTCAGCTCAGGTCGTGATCTCAGGGTCCTGGGATCGAGATCTACATCCGGCTCCCTGCTCAGTGGGGAGTCTGCTTCTCCCTCTGCCCTTCACCCTGCTCCTGCTCTCTCGCTCTCTCTAATAAATAAATAAAATCTTAAAGAAAGAAATGTGTTTCTAGTGTTTTCAGGTAGATTCTGTGGACAAAGCCATGCAGTTCAGAGCTCACCTACCCACCTGCCCTTTGCAGGAGCAGGAGTTGAGGCCAGGGACCCCTGGAGACGTGACCTGCTCTCTGGGCAGGCGAGGGGCATGAGGCCCCTGTACTTCTGCTCCTGTCCAGGCTGAGGCTGCCCCTCACACCTCATCCACTTCCCCTGGACCTTCCTCAGACTCCACGTCTCTGGGAGCCCGAAGGAAGGAAGGAGAGAGGTGGTCCACCGTGCACCAGGCCTTGGACCAGGGACTCACACATGCATTACTTCACTTAGCCCCACACGAACCTGCCCAGTGGCACCATGCCCATCGCATGGATAAGGAGATGGGGGTTCAGAGGTCAGAAAGCCAGGCAATGGAAGACCCATGATTCCCCACCACATCACCCGATGCACCACTCATTCCATCACCCTGTCATCCCACTGATGATCACTAAGGGCCTCCTCCCTGCCAGGAACTGTGCCAGGACAAGGGTGACTACAGTGAGCACAGCAGTCCGACCCCTTCCTTGTAGGGGGAAAAGGGACAGCAATCACGTCACAACAAGGCTAACGATGCTGTCACAGACCGTGACAACTGCTCAGAACAGTCCTCAAAGCAGAAGAACTCACCAGGGAGAAGGGCAGGCAGGAAGGATGGGGAAGGACAGGAAGTGGAAGGAGATGGGGTCTCTGAGCCCATCACGACCATGGTGACAGCCTCTGGGGGTCATCCTGCATAGGACCTGAAGGATGAGCAATACCTGACCAGAGGGGCATAGAATGTGCTAGAGGCTGGGCGCGCGTGGGGGAGGGGAGGAGGAGGCTGCAGGCAGGCGGGGCTGAAGCAGCTGAATCCGAAGGTGGTAGGCCCGGTCCTGCAACACCTGCTACCCACCTGGTCCACAGGCACCTCCACCTGCACTTCCTTGTCCTCTTTGACTTCCGAGGCTCCTTGGGCTTCTGTGGGAGGAGTCTGGGCTTTATACACGTCACCTTCTGGAGGAAAACAGCACAAACAGGTTTTCAAGCCAACGTCCACTGCACATTTTTCTGGCCCAAACGAAAGTCGAGGCTCGGCATCCTGTGAGCTGCCGGTGTCGTGTGCAGGCAGCCAGCCCCAGGGTTCTGAGTCCCAGCATGGGGTCCCCCACTGCCCTTGCTTCTGCCTCCATGTCTGCACTGGTGGTCATCTCTGTGTCCTACCCGCCACGGGACTCAGTCCCAGAGATGAAACACACTGATCGCCCGGCAAACGTGTGTCCAGTCAAATCAGAAATAACCACAAAGCAACCCGCCAGACACCAAAACAGTATTCTGAGGACATGTACCTTGATTACTTCAAAATTACTTCAAATTACTTTAAAATTACTTGTTTTGAAGGAATGAACAAAATGAGTTTTAACCCACGAGGTGTTAAAATTGCACACTGTAGTCTACTAAGTCGACAGATAAAAATCATCTAATCAGCATTACAATTGGATGTCTTACACGCTTATAAATTCCCAAGGTTCTTGAAAACCTTATCCTCATGCTGACAAGACTAGGTGACAGTAAAAGAGACAGAAGAAGCCAGCCACTTCCCTCAACCCCCAGAGGATGTCACCACGGTGGTGATGGGCTCAGTGACCCCAGTTCCTTCCACTTCTTCCTGTCCTTCCCCATCCTTCCTGGCCCTCAGCCCCAGAAGGACCATTGCACAGCCCTTGACGGAAGGGACAAACGTAAGAAGAAGGCAGAGGGCAGCATCCATCCGGACCCCGCAGGGTGCCAAGCCCTCTTCTGTTTGCTTGACACTTAACACTCACACAAGCCTCTGTCAACCCTTCCACGCCCATTTGTTTGTAGATAAGGAGTGTGCCGAGGGCCCCACACTCGAGAACACGCTCGGGGCCACACTTGGGAATACACTTGGGAGGGCGTAGCTGGAACCTGGGCCCCGGCACACTGCACTGCTTCCTGGAGGGAAGGTTGGATGCATGCCGGGCAGCCCCAGCCATGTTGGACAGGCTTTGCCAAGAAGAAAATTTTACACACACTGATTAAAATCTCTATTATGTTGATAGAGCATCTCAGGGACTATAGGTTCAATAGACTCTGGTCTTCGGCCCATCCTGGCCATGGTCAGGTTGCATCAGCACACTGTGTCGGCCGCACCCACCAGGCAGGAGCGCTGTGAGTGTCCTCTATCCAGACCAGGGCCTGGCGCACAGCCGGACAACACCGTCATCTCGGGTGGGAAGGCCCAACAGGGGCGGGGAGCAGGAGAGAAGCACAGGGAGACAGTCAAGATGTCACCTGGAAAGCAGCAAAGAGTTCCCAGGAAGCTGAGAGACAATCAGAGCACAAAGAGGAAAAGCCGGGCTCGCTGTGCGTGGGGAGTGCCAAGGAAGGGAAAGGCTTCAACAAAAATGACTTCCCTGAATTGTCGGATGCTGCAGCGAATCAAAGGGGAGCCCTCCTTCCCCTGGTCCTGGCCTCTGCATCAGCCGCCACCACCAGCAAAGCAACTGTGCTACACGCTGATGGGACTCGAGGTGGCCAGCTCCCAGCAGGGCTCCACAGAATAGAAGCAGGAGCAGAACAAGTATTTTTTTTTAATTATTTCATTTTACGAGAGGCAGAGCAAGATGGCGGAGGAGTAGGAGACCTGGGTTTCGTCTGGTCTCAGGAACTCAGCTGAATAGGGATCAAACCATTCTGAACACCTACGAACTCAACAGGAGATCGAACAGGAGAGTAGCAACAACTCTCTGGACAGAGAAGCGACCACTTACTGGAAGGTAGGGCGTGCGGAGAAGTGAATCCGAGGCGATATTCGGGAGGATAGACGGCGGGGGAGGGGGCCTCCGTCGGCCGCTTCTGGTGAGTGCTAGAGCCGCGGAGCACAAAATCGGAACTTGTAGAAGTCGGCTCCGCTGAGGGACGTCGCTCCAGTGGCTAAGCGGGGGGTGGAACCCTCGCGGGACAGTGTGGTCTCAGGACCCTCGGGGTCACAGAAAGACCGGGGGTGCCTGAGTGCGGCAGCGCTCCCAGGTATCGGAGCGGGGAAGCCGGCTGCAGAGACGGAGCCGAGGCGCGGGCTCTCAGCTCGGGGTGGCCATAAACTGTGATCCGTGGCCCAGTCGGGCCACTGCTCCTCCAGCAGGGACCCAACAAGCGGCAGAGCCGGGGAGACTCCCCTCCCTCCGCCGGGAGGAGCGGTGCAGGAGCGCACCGCAGGGATCTGCTGGGTTTGGAGACTCCACACGGGGTCCGGTGCCAGAGATAGAAACGCTCGGTCACAGGCCGGGTGAGCACGGAGTGCGGCCGGAGACCGGGGACACGGGAGTGACTGATTGCTTTTCTCTGGGGGCGCACTGAGGAGCGGGGCCCCGAGTTCTCGACTCCTCCGGGCAGAGGTTGGGAGGCCACCATTTTCACTCTCATCTTCCAAAGCTGTACCGAGAGCTTGCAGGGAACAAAATCTCCCGAGAGCAAACCCGAGCAGCTTGCTTAGCCCTGACCGACAAGGGCGGGGCAATTCCGCCTCCGGCAAAGACATTTGGGAACCACGGCAACAGGCCCCTCCCCCAGAAGATCAGCACGAACAGCCAGCAAGCCAAGACCAAGTTTACCGACCAAGGAGAACGGGAGAACTCCAGTGCTAGGGGAATACTGCACATAGAATCCAGGGCTTTTTTACCATGATTCTTTAGTCTTTCAAAGTTAATTTTTTTAACTGTCTTTTATTTTTTTTGAATTTTACTTTTTCCCTTTTTCAACCAACATCTTATCAATCCCTTTTTTAAAAAAACATTTTATTTTTTAATTTTTAGACTGATATTCTATCCCTTGATAGTAGTTACCCTTAGTTTTGGCATATATATATATAAGTTGTTCTCTCTTTAAAATTTTGAGGTACAGTTTCTTCTAACAGTTCAAAATATACCCTATCTCTAGTGCATGGCTTTGTTCTAGTCTCCTGCCTGATCACATTCTCTCCCCTTTTTTTTCTTTTTTAAATACTCTTCTTTCTTTTTTCAAGCAACTTATCAATTCCTTTTATAAAATTGTTTATAATTTACATCTTTACATCATATTCCATCCCTTCATCATGTTAACCCTTATTTTTGTACATATTTAAGTTTTTCTTTCTTTAAGATTTTGGGAGGCACTTTCTTCTAAAAGACCAAAATACGCCCAAAATCTAGTGAATGGCACAGATCTGTGAACCAGCCTGATCATATTTGCTCATATTCTGGGTTTTTTTGTTTTGTTCTGTTTTTGTTTGTTTTTATCTTTTTCTTTTTCCTTTTTTTTTTTCTTCTTCTTTTTTCTTTCTTTCCCTCTCTTTGCCCCCACTTTCAGGTCTTTTCTGATTGTTTAAAGTATATTTTCTGGGGACATTGTTACCCTGTTAGCATTTTGTTCTCTCACTCATCTATTCTCCTCTGGACAAAATAACAAGATGGAAAAAAATCACCTCAATGAAAAGAACAAGAGGCAGGACCCACTGCCAGGGACCTACTCAATACGGACATTAGGACAATGTCGGAACTAGAGTTCAGAATGATGATTTTAAAGATACTAGCTGGGCTTGAAAAAAGCATGGAAGTTATTAGAGACACCCTTCCTGGAGAAATAAAAGAACTAAAATCTAACCAAGTTGAAATCAAAAAAGCTATTAATGAGGTGCAATCAAAAATGGGGGCGCTAACTGCTAGGATAAATGAGGCAGAAGAGAGAATCAGCGATATAGAAGACCAAATGATGGAAAATAAAGAAGCTGAGAAAAAGAGAGATAAACAACTACTGGATCACGAGGGCAGAATTCGAGAGATAAGCGATACGATAAGATGAAACAACATTAGAATAATTGGGATCCCAGAAGAAGAAAAAAGAGAGAGGGGGGCAGAAGGTATATTGGAGCAAATTAGAGCAGAGAACTTCCCTAATGTGGGGAAGGAAACAGGCATCAAAATCCAGGAGGCACAGAGAACCCCTCTCAAAATCAATAAAAATAGGCCAACACTCCAACATCTAATAGTAAAACTTACGAGTCTCAGAGACAAAGACAAAATCCTGAAAGCAGCTCGGGAGAAGAGATATGTAACCTACAATGGTAGAAACATTAGTTGGCAACAGACCTATCCACAGAGACCTGGCAGGCCAGAAAGGACTGGCAAGATATCTTCAGAGCACTAAACGAGAAAAATATGCAGCCAAGAATACTATATCCAGCTAGGCTGTCATTGAAAATTGAAGGAGAGATAAAAAGCTTCCAGGAAAAACAAAAACTAAAAGAATTTGCAAACACAAAATGAGCCCTACAAGAAATATTGAAAGGGGTCCTCTAAGCAAAGAGAGAGCCTAAAAGCAACATAGACCAGAAAGGAACACAGACAATATACAGTGACAGTCACCGTACAGGCAATACAATGGCACTAAATTCATATCTTTCAATAGTTACACTGAATGTAATTGGGCTAAATGCCCCAATCAAAAGACACAGGCTATCAGATGGGATTAAAAAAACAAGACCCATCGATATGCTGTCTGCAAGAGACTCATTTTAGACCCAAAGACACCCCCAGATTGAAAGTGAGGGGGTGGTAAACCATTTACCAAGCTAATGGACACCAAAAGAAAGCTGGGGTGGCAAACCTTCTATCAGACAAATTAGATTTTAAAACAAAGACTGTAATAAGAGATGAGGAAGGACACTATATCCTACTTAAAGGGTCTATGCAACGAGAAGATGTAACAATTGTAAATACCTATGCCCCTAACATGGGAGCAGCCAATTATATAAGGCAATTAATAACCAAAGCAAAGAAACATATTGACAAGAATACAATAATAGTGGGGGACTTTAACACCCCCCTGACTGAAATGGACAGATCATCTAAGCAAAAGATCAACAAGGAAAGAAAGACTTTAAATGACACACTGGACCAAATGGACTTCACAGACATATTCAGAACATTCCGTCCCAAGCGATGGAATAAACATTCTTCTCTAGTGCCCATGGAACATTCTCCAGAACAGATCACATCCTAGGTCACAAATCAGCTCCCAACCAGTACCAAAAGATTGGGATCATTCCCGGCATATTTTCAGACCACAATGCTTTGAAACTAGAACTCATCACAAGAAGAAAGTTGGAAGGAACTCAAATACATGGAGGCTAAGAGCATCCTACTAAAGAATGAATGGGTCGACCAGGAAATTAAAGGAAAATTTAGGGCACCTGGGTGGCTCAGTTGGTTAAGCGACTGCCTTCGGCTCAGGTCATGATCCTGGAGTCCCGGAATCGAGTCCCACATCGGGCTCCCTGCTCAGCGAGGAGCCTGCTTCTCCCTCTAACCTCCCTCCCTCTCATGTACTCTCTCTCTCTCTCTCTCATTCTTACTCTCTCAAAATAAATAAATAAATCTTTAAAAAAAAAGAATTTTAAAAAATTCATGGAAACGAATGAAAATGAAAACATAACTGTTCAAAATCTTTGGGATGCAGCAAAGGCAGTCCTAAGAGGAAAGCATATAGTAATACAAACCTTTGTCAAGAAACAAGAAAGGCCTCAAATACACAACCGAACCCTACACCTAAAGAAGCTGGAGAAAGAACAGCAAATAAAGCCTAAATCCAGCAGGACAAGAGAAATAAGAAAGATCAGAGCACAAATCAATGAAATAGAAACAAAAAGAATACTAGAACACATTAACGAAACTAGGAGCTGGTTCTTTGGAAGAATTAACAAGATTGATAACCCCTGGCCAGACTTATCAAAAAGAAAAGAGAAATGACCCAAATAAATAAAATCATGAATGAAAGAGGAGAGATCACAACCAACACCAAAGAAATACAAACAATTATAAGACCATATTATGAACAACTCTATGCCAGCAAATTAGATAACCTGGAAGAAATGGGTGCATTCCTAGAGATGTATCAACGACCAAAGCTGAACCAGGAAGAAATAGAAAACCTGAACAGACCTATAACCACTACGGAAATTGAAGCAGTCATCAAAAATCTCCCAACAAACAAAAGCCCAGGGCCAGATGGCTTCCCAGGGGAATTCTATCAAACATTTAAAGATGAATTAATACCTATTCTCCTGAAACTGTTCCAAAAAAGAGAAATGGAAGGAAAACGTCCAAACTCATTTTATGAGGCCACCATTACCTTGATCCCCAAACCAGACAAAGACCCCATCAAAAAGAATTACAGACCAATATTCTTGATCTGAGATGAGATTTCAGATTTTTGCACGGATGCAAAAATTCTCAACAAAATACTAGCCAATAGGATCCAAAAGTACATTTAAAGGATTATTCACCACGACCAAGTGGGACTTATCCCTGGGCTGCAAGCTTGGTTCAACATCTGCAAATCAATCAATGTGATAACAATACATTAATAAAAGAAAGAACAAGAACCATATGATCCTCTCAAGAGATGCAGAAAAAGCATTTGACAAAGTACAGCATCCTTTCTTGATCAAAACTCTTCAGAGTATAGGGATAGAGGGTACATACCTCAATATCATAAAAGCCATCTATGAAAAACACACAGCAAATATCATTCTCAATGGGGAAAAACTGAGAGCTTTCCCCCTAAGGTCCAGAACACGGCAGGGATGTCCATTATCACCACTGCTATTCAACATAGTATTAGAAGTCCTAGCCACAGCAATCAGACAACAAAAAGAAATCAAAGGCATCCAGATCGGCAAAGACGAGGTCAAACTCTCACTCTCTGCAGATGATATGATACTGTATGTGGAAAACACAAAAGACTCCACCCCAAAACTGCTAGAACTCATACAGGAATTCAGTAAAGTAGCAGGATATAAAATCAGTGCACAGAAATGAGTGGCATTTCTATACACCAACAAGAAGACAGAAGAGAGACAAATCAAGGAGTTGATCCCATTTATAATTGCACCCAAAACCATAAGATCTCTAGGAATAAATTCAACCAAAGAGGCAAAGAATCTGTACCCAGAAAACTATAAAATACTCATGAAAGAAATTGAAGAAGACACAAAGAAATGGAAAAACGTTCCATGCTCATGGATTGGAAGAACAAACATTGTGAAGATGTCAATGCTATCTAGAGCAATCTACACATTCAATGCAATCCCCATCAAAATACCATGCAGTTTTTTCAAAGAAATGGAACAAAGAATCCTAAAATTTGTATGGAATCAGAAAAGACCCCAAATAGCCAGAGGAATGTTGAAAAAGAAAAGCAAAGCTGGCGGCATCACAATTCTGGACTTCCAGCTCTATTACAAAGCTGTCATCATCAAGACAGTATATGGTACTGGCACAAAAACAGACACATAGATCAATGGAACAGAATCGAGAGCCCAGAAATGGACCTCAACTCTATGGTCAACTCATCTTTGACAAAGCAGGAAAGAATGTCCAATGGAAAAAAGACAGTCTCTTCAACAAATGGTGTTGGGAAAATTGGACAGCCACATGCAGAATGAAACTGGACCATTTTCTTACACCACAAACAAAAATGGACTCAAAAGGGTTGAAAGACCTAAATGTGAGACAGGAGTCCATCAAAATCCTAAAGGAGAACACAGGCAGTAACCTCTTCAACCTCAGCCACAGCTTCTTCCTAGAAACATTTTCCTAGAAACATCGCCAAAGACAAGGGAAGCAAGGGCAAAAATGAAGTATTGGGACCTCATCAAGAGAAAAAGCTTTTGCATAGCAAAAGAAACAGTCAACAAAACCAAAAGACAACCGACAGAATGGGAGAAGATATTTGCAAATGACATATCAGATAAAGGACTAGTATCCAAAATCTATAAAGAACTTATCAAACTCAACACCCAAAGAACAAATAATCCAATCAAGAAATGGGCAGAAGACATGAACAGACATTTTTCCAAAGAAGACATCCAAATGGCCAACAGACACATGAAAAAGTGCTCCACATCGCTCGGCATCAGGGAAATCCAAATCAAAACCTCAATGAGATACCACCTCACACCAGTGAGAATGGCTAAAGTTAACAAGTCAGGAAATGACAGATGTTGGCGGCGATGCAGAGAAAGGGGAACCTTCCTACACTGTTGGTGGGAATGCAAGCTGGTGCAGCCACTCTGGAAAACAGTATGGAGGTTCCTCAAACAGTTGAAAATAGAGCTACCATACGACCCAGCAATTGCCCTACTGGGTATTTACCCCAAAGATACAAATGTAGGGATCCGAAAGGGGTACGTGCACCCCAATGTTTATAGCAGCAATGTCCACAATAGCCAAACTGTGGAAAGAGCCAAGATGTCCATCGACAGATGAATGGATAAAAAGAGGTGGTATAGGGCACCTGGGTGGCTCAGTTGGTTAAGCGACTGCCTTCGGCTCAGGTCATGATCCCAAAATCCCGGGATCAAGTCCCACATCAGGCTCCCTGCTCAGAAGGGAATCTGCTACTCCCTCTGACCCTAACCCCTCTTGGGCTCTCTCTCTCTCACTCTCTCTCTCAAATAAATAAATAAAATCTTTAAAAAAAAAAACATGAGGTGGTATATATATACAATGGAATATTATGCAGCCATCAAAAGGAATGAAATCTTGCCATTTGCAACGATGTGGACCAAACTGGAGGGTGTTATGCTGAGGGAAATAAGTCAATCAGAGAAAGACATGTATCATATGACCTCACTGATATGAGGAATTCTTAATCTCAGGAAACAGACTGAGGGTTGCTGGAGTGGTGGGGGGTGGGAGGGACGGGGTGGCTGGGTGATAGACACTGGGGAGGGTATGTGCTATGGTGAGCACTGTGAATTGTGTAAGACTCTTGAATCACAGACCTGTACCTCTGAAACAAATAATACATTATATGTTAAAAAGAAGAAGAAGAAGAAGATAGCAGGAGGGGAAGAATGAAGGGGAGTAAGTCGGAGGGGGAGACGAACCATGAGAGACTATGGACTCTGAAAAACAAACGGGGGGTTATAGAGGGGAGGGGGTGGGGGTATGGGTTAGCCTGGTGATGGGTGTTAAAGAGGGCACGTTCTGCGTGGAGCACTGGGTGTTATGCACAAACAATGAATCATGGAACACTACACCAAAACAAATGATGTAATATATGGTGATTAACATAACATAATAAAAAAATGCTACTTTTTCTATTAAAAAAAAAAGTAAACCCAAACAATTCAGGTGGATTTGAGTTTCATGTTTTCTTCCAAAGGCTGATTTGTTCGCAGGTTGTTTGCTGCATCACTGGCCTTATGGGAGAGCACGCCCACCCAGATGTTCACAGAGAGGATAGAATTCCTGCATCGATCTGGGAGGGCTTCCTCGGTGGAGAAGCCTATTGCCTTCGCCACTGGGATTTTGTTTCTCTCCTCTCACTACCACGACCCCTGGAGTTGAATGTCTCATTAATAAATCAGATCGTCACAAGTGAAGTTTTAAAATCAGACAGTTACAAGCCGTATCTTTGCAGTATGAAACTGGCCTGGAAACACACACACACACACACACACACACACACACACACACACACATTCTTCAAATGGTAGCACTTTTTAATGCCCACAGCCAAATGAAATTCACATTACCTGCGCTGCTTTGCATTAAAGGTTCTTCTAGTGTTTTCTTCTTTCCCTCTTTGGCATAAAAAACAGAATCCTGTTCCTTCTGGGGAATGTTGTCGTATTTATGAGGTTCTTTTCCTTTGGAATCCTCCTAAGGTACAAATTAAGAATAAAAAGTATGTGAGGAACAGCAGTGTACCATGAGGTTTTTTTTTTTTAAGATTTTATTTATTTATTTGACAGAGTGAGACACAGCGAGAGAGGGAACACAAGCAGGGGGAGTGGGAGAGGGAGAAGCAGGCTTCCTGATGAGCAGGGAGCCCGATGAGGGGCTGAATTCCAGGACCCTGGGAACATGGCCTGAGCTGAAGGCAGACGCTTAAGGACTGAGCCACCCAGGCACCCCAAAAATCACTGTTTTCAACACCTACCAAACTATTCCCACTGGAACCTCTGAGCAAGGCACAGCATCTCTGATAAAAGGATATTAAACATGTGGTAGGTTTGTTTTGGACTGAGATAAAGGGAAACTCAGATGGTCTAAAAAAAAAAATCTGCAGACAGTAATGACCAAGCAGGAGGGGATCACAGTGGAAGATGAGCTAATTCTGAGCATCATCCCAGCTCCGTCCCAAAAACTGTCTTCATAATACAAACCACCTTTCCAGTTTTCCTGTTTTCTGTCTTTACTGAACACAGGCAGAACTATATAAATCAAGATTTCTCCTGAGCTCTCTATGGCACCTCCCTATAACATCAATATATTTATGAGGCAAACAACCGGCTGTTTTATCCTTGCAGAAATTAAAGTGCATAAAATAGTCCCATGACCAAATACAAGAACCAAGCAAAATCTTTCTACCTACTTTAACAGGCTTTCCTAAAAGTTGAAATCATGCTCATATGTATAGGAAACAAGATCTTGGCAGAACTGGTGTTAGAAACAGAACACAGTGCACGCTGCTTGTGTTTTGGAGGCAGCTGGGGGTAGGGATTCATCTATTTTGCAACCATTTTCCCGATCCTCAGCCTCTACGACAAGACACCCTGTATTTACTGTTACCTCTGAAGTAATACCTGAAGGACAGTGACACAGGAAGTGTCCCACCCTCTCACAAGGACACAAAGCAACACTGGTGCAGAGCAAAGCGCACAGAGAAAGCCAAGACCGTTGCAGCCTGGCCACCGGCCACCAGCCCCACCACCCCAGGCGCAGCGACACGAGGAGATGAGCTGGTCCACACTGACCTGGAAGGGGGCCCACACAGAGCTTTGGGCTGGTGAGATGACAGATGAAGAGCGCCCATAAGTTCAATAAATTGATTTCATTGTTTAATCTCATCCCTTACCAATGTACCTGATGGGAACACGAGTTTCTACAAGCTCCTTATTTCTATGACATCCAGTGAAACCCGGAGCCGCGCTGGTTTGGCTTCTCGTCAATCTGAGCCCGAGCCCTGCTTTGGGGCCATCTGTCTCCGCAAGGACAGCCTGACCTTGTCTACCTGCACACCCATTTCCCTTCTTCCCCTTCATCCTGTACCCCCAGCACTGAGGGCAACCTCCATGTGTGGTGACTTATTTAGAATGGTTATTGCTTACATCTCACCACTAGAATGCTGGAAGCTCCATGGGGCCAGAGATGTTTGTCTAATGATGAATTCCCAGAGCCTGGAGCCGGGTGGCACATAGAAAGCTCTCCGTATATACTTGCCCAGTGAGTAAGTGAACGGTGCTGGTATGAATCTCATACCCCTGTGCCTTTCAGATGCTCACAGGAGCTGTCACAACTTGAGGATGGTGTTCAAGTGCCTCAGCTCAGCGCTGTGACCTTTGAGTCTAAGCCCGCTTACATTCCCAGTCTATTCCCTGCTCAGGCTTTGCCCATCTTCTGGCTCATCTCCACCTGCGATGCCCTTCCTCCCTGGCTTCCAATCCCAGTGCAAGCCGAGCTCAGAGTCCCTGTGCCACGTTCCTGGAGCACCTGCATGTCATCACCAGAACACAGCCCCTGCCCTTTGCATTCCTGGTTCCAAGCAAACAGTGACCTCCCAACACAGACACATGCCCACTGAAGTAGTCCCAACAGTTGCTTAGTAAATCTTTGCTGATCTCTTGTGCTAAGTAAGAAGATGTGGGGGCAAGTAGGCCGGGGCGCCGGGCGGCTCAGTGGGTTCAGCGTCTGCCTTCGGCTCAGGTCATGGTCCCGGGGTCCTGGGATCGAGCCCCGCGTCAGGCTCCCTGCTCGGCGGGGAGCCTGCTTCTCCCTCTGCCTCTGCCTCTCCCCCTGCTCATGGGCTCTCTCTCTCAAATGAATAAATGGAATCTTTAAAAAGAAAGACAGGGGAAGGGTTGCCGGAGTGCAGGGTATGGGAGGTGCAGGGTCGGCTACACCATCGGCCCAGCCTTCCTTCCCACACCCGTGAGGCGACCTCTACACGCCCTGCTGTCCCAACCTGCCAGGGACACCCCAGGCGTTTCTCCAGAGCCGCCACCTCCTCAGGTGCTGGTCCTGCTCTAATGTCACCGTGTCCCACGCAGAGGAGCCCTCGTCCGCACTCCCAGCCCCACGGTCATGCACCTGCAGCTCCTGCCCACCAGCTCCCCACTGGCCTGCCCTCCGCAAGGACAGGAAGGGGCCACCTTCAGCTTTACACACACGTCTGCCGTGCAGTGGACACTCCGCGTGCCTCTCATTGTCAGAGCAACACAGATTTACAGCATTTCTCAGAAACAACAGATTGAGCAGGAAAACAGAGAATCTGTGGCTTCCCCATGCAAGGAAAGGTCTAGGCATCACCACTGTCCCCACTCCTCCCTGCTCTGAGTCCTGAGTCCGAAATCAACACGAGTGCCCTACAAAGGTGTCAGGTGCTGCTTTTCCATTTCATTAATCTGCTCCCCCATTAAAAACATTCTCAGGAAACATACCCAAGGCACACTGTGTTCATTTCTCTGCAGTGCTGTAGGGACTATCATTTTTCTCTGGAGCCTATTTCATTCGACCTCGCCGAACTTCAATGCTGTTGTAACAGATAGTCTTGCTCAGGCACATGAAAGGCAGCCCCCCAAGGTAATGTGGATGAAGTAGAGAGTTTGTCTAGTGGAGGAACAGCAACCACCTAGCTGAGTTCAGAGTCAGGCCACTCCCAGGAGGAAAGCCAGCGCTGCACGCTGAAGGCCTCCCACCAGCTTCCAGAGTGAATGTCCTGCTTCCAAGTGGGTCAGGGTCCGCCATCAGAGAACCAGCCCCTATGCCAAGCATTAATAAAGTGGAACATTAGCTGACATTTGAACCTGACTGTTGCCTCTTCAGGCCACTAGGAGACACAAATGCAGCCTTGGATGTTGTGTGATACTGCTACGGTCTTGACATTATTAGCCTGCAAGTGTCAGCTCCAACACACGTGCTCCATGCTGCACTTTAAAGTCCAGTCCCGTGGTGTGCATCTCTCTGACTGTTTCACGCCCGTGTGCGCACATACGCACACACAGGCACCTTTAATTTGTCAGTGTTTTATCTCCTGTTCATTTCTGTTCACTACCAACATTTGCGCTCTATGCCCAAAAGAGAAGTAGGTAATATTAACATTCTGGTTGTGGATGTGATATAAATACAATGCTTATTAATTATTTACTGATATTTTACAGAGACTTGCACATTAAAATAATTCATTTTAATATAGGAAAGCAGTTTTAAACATTTATTAAATTAGCCTCAATTCCTTGGAAAGTAATAGACCCAAAATCACGGTAAATGAGTTGCTGAAAACTGAATCTGATCTAACGAAATAAGAATAGGTTCACTCAGATAAGTCAATCAGAGAAAGACATGTATCATATGACCTCACTAATATGAGGAATTCTTCATCTCAGGAAACAAACTCCAGGGTTGCTGGAGTGGTGGGGGTGGGAGGGGTGGGGGGGGTGGGGGTGATAGGCATTGGGGAGGGTATGTGCTATGGTGAGCGCTGTGAATTGTGCAAGACTGTTGGATCACAGATCTGTACTTCTGAAACAAATAATGCAATATATGTTAAGAAAAAAAAGAAGAAGAAGATAGCAGGAGGGGAAGAATGAAGGGGAGTAAGTCAGAGGGGGAGACGAACCATGAGAGACGATGGACTCTGAGAAACAAACTGAGGGTTCTAGAGGGGAGGGGGGTGGGGGGATGGGTTAGCCTGGTGATGGGTATTAAGGAGGGCACGTTCTGCGTGGAGCACTGGGTGTTACGCACAAACAATGAATCATGGAACACTACATCAAAAACTAATGATGTAATGTATGGTGATTAACATAACAATAAAAAATTTTAAAAAAGAATAGGTTCACTCAGTTAATTTCCTAGGACTCAACAGTCATGGCTCAAGTTAATGGACACCTGGAACCCCACCGGCTTCTCCCACATTCCCACATCCACAGTCACCCAGACACCTGTGCTCCTGGCCATTATGTTTCTTCTCATTTCATGGAATCAAATGCCATGAATCATAAGACACGTGGTTATTTACGTGTCGCTAAGAAACAAAGCAAACTACCAGCTAAACTATGTCACATGGCTTCCCTGTTACCTGGAAGTTCTGTTTTCTACTGAAACAGCCCTTTCAGAACTTTTAGACATAGATTTTTATCACATAACACATCTGGATGTAAAGCAAGAGGACAAGGCCACAGAAATAAATTGCTCGACTCCTCTCAAGATTCTACACCCAGAGTCGGGCTCTTCTGAGCCATTTCTGCGTTGAAGCTGAGTATGTCTGTGCTTTGCCAGGCAGTGTGGACAGAGTGCACCACTATGATCTCTGGAATTTTTTTCCACGCTGCTCGGCACGTTTCGAGGCTGGTGCTTTCTTGCCTGGAGCATGGGAAGCAAGCCTTCTGCATCTGCCTCAGTAACAAGATGTGGTGGACGAATGTGGCAGAGTGCTTCCTGGCCACCAAACCCCCTCTCTGGATGCAGATGAAGTCTGCATACCTTGGCTGCATGCCTCCACCAAGGGAGGGTCTATTTCTCTACCTCCCAGAACCTTGCAACCATGGGGATGATGACCAGCACCAACGTCCAGATGTGCTCCTAAAGCCAGCCTAGACCTTGCAGCCCAGCAACCCCGGCAGGTAACACAGCCTGTAAGGAAGCCTGGTGCAACTGGCCCAAGACCCACCCAGCCAACACACAGGACTTAGAGAAATAATAAAACATCTCTGTGTTAATCCCCTAGGGCATGGCTCGTTACACTGTAATAGATTACTGAGCCTGTATCTTCAGCTGCACATGGTAACTTCCTTTCTCAGGTCCCATAAAAGAGTTGGTTGTTCCTTTGGAAAAATATAAAGAATTAAAGAAGAATGTACTCCACTAGCATAAAATTGCTATTCTTTGTACCTTTCTGGGAATACAATAATTTTTCACTTTGATTCTGAATCGTATCAACATCATCTTGATGACATTTGCAGCAATGACACTCAACACGTGTAGTGCCAACCATGCACACGCCTCAGCTGAAGAGACAGGCTCGCTGTGATGACAGCGAAACCACACATGACCACCAACAGCAGTGGTCAGAGGCCATCTACGTAGGAGGCACCCCACTTCCCACAGAAAACAAATCAAAGAAGTTTAGTAAGAGAGACGTGGAAAGCCTAGCACACACACATAAAGAAGCAATTGTACTTACCATAATATGGTTGTTGTGACTAACTCTAAAACCCAGCCTCAAAAAATAAAATAAAATAAAACAAAACAAAATAAAATAAAATAAAATAAAATAAAATAAAATAAAATAAAATAAAATAAAATAAAACCCAGGCTCATGCAGCCAGAGAAGCCTGGGGTAGTTTTCATCCTCAAAAATGCACCTGTTCCTCACATGGGGCAAAGGTTTGTAAGTACTGAATTCTCAGCTCAACATACCATGTAGACCTCCACACTGGGGAGCAAGAATACAGTAAAATACCTTGACAGGCATTAGTACCACAAACGCAGAGATTTTACATCAAACTTAGTTAACATCAATGCCTGTTGTATTCTTTTAGGAATTCCTGTTTTTTCTGGGAAAAAAAAAATGTGTTTGCTCTGTTGTTACATGCCTGGTCATACACCATGGAATATTTTCAATGATAGATTTGTTTTTTCTAAAATAACACTTTTTATTTGCATTGCAGAGTATGCATGTTTGTGACGATTCCACTTAAAGATTCTTAATGTTATATATCATCCTTAAAACCCATTAACTTTCCCAGTGATCGCTTTCCAAAAGAGAAGAGAAAGAACTATAGGCGATATCAGAACAAACGTGTCCCAAATTTTAGACCAAATAGAACAAATATTTAATAAAAGGAAAAGAAAACACTATCCCTACCTATCAGGACCCAGAGTCAGAACAACATAATGAAGTGAGGACATAACAAAACAACCTCGGACTCCTGGCTCCGTTCTCTGTGCTCAGAGGCTTCCCACACCATTAAAGTATGGGATTCCAAGGTTGTACCACTCAGGCTAAGTTTCAACGTTCAAACTCAGAGCTCACAGCTGAGAAAACTCTGCACAACCACGTCGGCTCCTTCTCCACCTGGAACATCTGCCCCCTTCTCTGTGCCACATTAGGACTTGCGCCCCATTTGCGGATCTCCACGAGTCGATTACCCTTTCCTGCAAACCATCACCCTATGCATGAGACTCATTCACACAAATGTTTTATCAAGAAACAAGTCTGTGTCGTCCAACCACACGCAATGAAGCTCATCCTTAGGGCAGAATCATGTCTATTGGTTCTGCATTCTCGACGATTCTCGTTCACTCATTTACCCAACAAACACTTAATACTGAAGGCAATCCACAGAGAAAGAAAACTGAAAATAAATAAGATGATCATTCAGCTCAGGAAGCCATCAAAATAACCAGAGTCAATTCAGAAAAGCCTTGACACCAAAGCCAGACAAGGACCACATGAAGAAGCAGCATTGGAGACGGATCTCATTTATGAATAGACTTGCAAAAATCCCTCACAAAATTGAGCAAAGCGTATTCCGAAGAGCATTTTTTGGCAGAAGGCCTTTTTCAGCGAAGGCGGGAGGGTGAGGACAGCAGTCGTGAACTCAGGGCAAAGAGTTAGGTGGGCTGTGTCATTACCTCCAGCGACACTGAGCTCCTTCAGCGCAAGTGTGGACAGGCAAGGGGCTGGGCTCATCCAAGGCTGGACTCTTGCCAGGCAAATACCGGGGTGGTTCAGAGGGTAAGGAAGCCAAAGTATTTCCAAGACGGTGATTAAGATGGCGGTTATGAAATCTGAACTGCACCAGGAGGAAAGCCACGTCAAGGGCTGGCCGTGAGATGTTGGGAAAGAATAGCTCACTACGTGGGGGACCTCGTGGCTGATGAGCCTCCGGAGGGAGGTGCCTGAGCAAAGGAGCTGAAAGCTGGAGCCAGGCAGAGAGTAGGCGCTCAACAGCTTTACTGAATGAACAGTAATGTCAGGGAGACACTGAAATAGCGTTTTTATAAGATGGGTGGGGGCATGTGGTCATCACACACATGGGTGGTAAAGACCCGTACGGCCGCCAAGAACTGGCTTCGGCCTGCCTTCCCAGGCTTGTATCCTGACACTCACTGGCTGCTCTTCTTGTGCTGTCTATGTCACACTACGTGCAGATAAGCGTACACAGTGAGCGCTTCTCACCTCTACGCCTGACGTGCCCCCTTCCTGCTGCCCCCAGGCCCAGGGTGGCCACACCAGGCTTGGCCACTCTCCCTCCTGTCTGTCCCTACACTCTGAGCTCCATGTCTCATGGCTGCACACACAGCAGGAAGCCTGGCACCAACACTGGGCCCGGAAGCTCCGGGCCCCACTGCCAGGGCTGGCCTGGGGGGCGTCCTTGTCACATGTCCCCAAGCACAGTTCCCATCTTTACTGTGTGAAAAGGACCTACTTGGTTTTTTTTTAGAGAGAGAGAGAGAGAGAGAGAGTGTGAGCGGTCAGGGGCAGAGGGAGAGAGAGAATCCCAGGCAGATTCCACACTCAGCACGGAGCCCGACATGGGGCTCGATCCCAAGACCCTGAGACCATGACCTGAGCCGAAATCAAGAGTCAGACACCCAACCAACAGAGCCACCCAGGCACCCCGAAAAGGACTTACTTTTTTCTTTCTTCGTGAGTATTTCTCGATGTCTGCATACTTTCTGAAAGACCAAAGATAGTCAGCTATAAATCTGTAAAAGTCAGCCAGAAAATATCTTTCTAAAATTGTAGGCTGCAGCCTTGGCTTTCGGGAGGGCAAGGCCTTGCTGAAGGCACATCCAGTCCCCCCATCATCACGAACTCACATCAACGGCATTTCCCCGCCTCAGAACAGAAGGGGCCCCCACTGGGGTTGGCTCAGTCTCCTTCCTCAAGACTTTAGAAAATCCGATGGCTTTCCATTTCTATCAGGGTGAGTGGCACCACATTTATAGGCACCTTCTGCCCTGAAGCTTGTATACGGTCATGGGGGGACATCCTAACAAGTTTGAGGTTTCAGGCAGTTGGCAGTCACTCACACAAACATGGGTTTTTCATGCAACTCTCACAGGGACCCGTGGCACACACGTCATGCTCTCCCTGGGCTGGAGAGGAAGCATGGCTCAGGGACATGAGGGTTTAGTCAATGCCGCACCCTGACCAGCGGAAGAGCAGAGACTCCAAGCCCATCCAAAACCCAGCCCAGCCTCCTCCCACCACCGACAGACCCCTTGTCTAACTGCCACCTTTCGCTCTGACATGGCCCGGGGTACACACCCCGCTCCTAATTCTTCTGTATGGGGGCTGACCCCCGCCGGTGCTACGCACGGGAGGGAACGCTCTGGCGCCCCACTCTCCAGCAGAAGGGCACCTCCCGGGTCCACGTCGTGGGTGGGGGACAGACTTCAGTCTCTTAGCTACTCTGTGGACTCGTTTCCTCTTTGGTGAGGGAGAAAGATATTTAAGCCACCAATAGACCAGTTCAGGGTTCAACACATGAACAGGTGACAGGGAAAACAAAACACATGGAGAGCCGGGGGACTCATGTGGGGAGCAGGGGACACAGGAACAGAGAGGGCCGTGCATCTCAGCTCAACGGCCCCTAAGGTATTTCTACCCACCATGCAGTTAGCACCATCAGCAATGAATTAGCAAGTGGATAAAATCAGGAAATAGCCCTGCTTGCCAGGCATGTGGCAGGACCCCAACCTAACCATTGGCTGTGGGGTCATTGCCTATGGACAGGACAAAAGAAGCCATTCTCTGCCTCAAAGTAGAAACCCTAACAGCAGGTGAGTGCAAACAGATACCTCCTGGGATGTGTCTCAGCTTCCCAGGCTCTGGGCCAGGGAACTTACGGGGTGCATGCAGGTGAAACCATCTGCCTGCTCCACCACAAGATGAACACTTACACCTCTTTTTCTTTGCTCAAGATAATGACCATGAGAAACATGACGGAGAAGCAGCTGCAGGGAAGGTCCCTGACAGGCCCTCAGACCGTTGCCGCCACTGCACGGAGTTCAAACACAGCCTTGGGGCTGAGCAGTCAAGGCTGCAAAATCCCGCCTTCAGCAGGAAACCGCTCCTCCCAGCCAGCCCTGGAAATCAGGAGCTCCCTCGGGGCAGGAACGGGGGTTAGGTGCCCGGGTCACACACCGTATCGCACAGCCTCCTGGAAGGAGGGCTACAGGGACATTGCAGGGAGGCGCCTGACACCCGGGTACCAAAATAGGGAGGAGCAGAGCCCCGCCTTCCAGGGCAAGTGACAAAGGGCACGGCTGGCAGGGCACAGTCCCCCCGGGGCTCATGGTCTCTGGCAGGCATATCCGAGACCTTCTGCCTGCCATCCCACGCCCCACCCTGTCATCCCACAGGACCCAGAGGCAAAGAAATCAGACTCTGTCCTAATACCGGGGCTTTAGTCTGGGACAAAAGTCAAGGGTTTGGATCAGTATATGCTGCCGAACTCCACAGTCTTGCAGGTCATCTCCTTCCTGAGCCTGACCCACCACTGAGCCTGGACGCCCAGTATGGACACACGTGAGCCCAGCAGGAGCTGCAGCCACTGAGGGCTCCAGACTAATAACCACCAAAGTCTCTCAAGGAAGCATCAAGTGCAACTGTGCCCTGGGAACGTAAGTCAGACCACCTCATCAGGGGACTTCAAGGTCCTTGAATGGTGAGAACTGCAGATGGACAGAGTCCACACCTGTCTATGTGAGCTCCCGTGCAGGACTCTGGGCAAGCAGGTCAGGGCCCAACACTGGGCTGTTCTTCACAGTAAAGCCACTCGGCATCCCTCAGGCAGGAGCCCTCAGGAGAACATTATGCACTAATCACAAGAACTTGGCCAAATTCAGATGGCAAGCAGGGGAGTGAGCAAACTGCCCCAGGAAGGGACAGCCAACCTTCTAGTTCTCTGGTGACAGGAGGGGAGACCCCACCAATGCTTTTGTCTTCCTTGTAGACGTTCCCGCAAGTCCACAAACACACACACCGTGGTGCACCCCGTTAGCCTGGGCCAGGATCCACCATAACCATCACCACTGGTTTCATCAGTAGGGCCCGCCACCCCACACCAACTCCGGAGTCCGGGACACATAGACAGTCAGGGGAAGCCGGCCGAAGGAAAAAAAACAGAACGAGGTGCTGGATGGAGGCTGGGCTACCATGACTGTGTCCCAGGACCAATGTGCTTTGCAGGCTGAGGCTCTTTCTGTCTGAGACTCCCAGTGTCCCCCCACCAGCAGTTTGCTCAACACAAGGGCTCACTGTCCTTGTGACATCGTCACACAACAGGGGTTCTCATGCCTCACTGTGAAAATCCAAAATTGTGTCCTATATAAAATGAGAATATCAAGTTTCACTCCAGAAAAATAGCCAAGAGCTGAACAGGCTGTACTTGGGGGCGATACTGGGGAAAAAGGCAAACTCTACCAACTCAGGAGGGCAAGGTAAGAAATGTGCTCACTGTTGGACCTCACTGGGCACCTTGGAGGATTTCCAGTAAGGGAAATATTTGAAGGTCTCCAGTCCGGCGGCAACATAGAAGTGGTTGTCTTGCAGATCCTTTGAGTTGTCCAAGAGATGCCCATTCATGGTAAATAATCTGTGAACAGAGCAAGAAGAAGTGGCCGGAGATTTCAAGCAGTGACCTCAGGGCTGGGGGCATTTCTGCAGACAATATGACCGGAATGTGGGCTACTGGCAAGCACTGAAAGCGTAGGAAAGCATAATCCAAATGGGCTAATTAAACCCCATGGGAGCTGCCCTTCCAAAGTTAGGCTTGTTTTCCATTTTTAGGTTTCTTAATTAAAGTATATTTTTAATTATGTGCAAGTATTCAGAGGCCCTTGAGAACATTTTAAGCTCTTGGTGTTCAATTAATTTTAATAACAGCAAAAATTAATACAAATTGGCTTGTATTGTTATAACAATACCTGGAAAACAGACCGGTATTTTATTAGCAAATAATATGCCTTTTTAGAAGCACCAAAAGACTAATATTTGTCTCGCTTTTATTCTGTACCCTTTTTTGGCAAGTATTCATTCACTCATTCATTCATGTAAGAAATGATTCAATTCACTCAATGTTGAGGATCTTTATGCACTGGAAAACGAGGTGGGCACTGTGTCGGACATAACTATGAGTAAGGAAGTCACTACTACCCCCAAAGTCAGGGTTTGTACCTAAACCTATAAACACAAATGTGACCAGCGAAGGGCAAAGATCCAGACTTCCAAGAGGAGGAAAACCAGACTCAACTGTAGGCCTCACAGAGGCGGGGGCAAGCCGTGGGGTGGGGAAGGTGGGAGGTTTCCTCATGGGAAGACGGGTAAAGCCATCTGGGGTAGCAGGAGGGGCCTGGGCCAAAGGCCAGAAAGCAGGGGTTGACTGTCACTGAAGGGGAAAGGCACACACAGAACTTGCACAGAGAATTCTGGAGCCTGGAATATTCTAGGGAGAGGAATTGATCATTGAGTTTGCCACAGTGATGGGAGACATGGGAGAGCAGAGAAGAGCTAGGTGCCAGCAACAGCCTGCAGACCGTCGTGGATGCGTCACGCTGACGCGGCTGCTGGAGGAAAGGAGCCTGGCCTGCGACAGGAGGCTCGGGCTGCTACAGCAAGGGTGTGCGAGGCGATCGGGAGACGGAGCAGCGATCTCCAGACTAGGAAGACGAGAAAGGCACGCTGAGGAGGTTGAAGCCACAAAGCCGCCCCCCCCCCCATCAGTCCTTCTCAAACCTTAGCGCCAGAACCACCTGGAAGGCTTGCTGACGCGCAGACAGCCGGGCCCCGCCCTTAGGGCCTCCAGTTCCGTGAGCCTAGGATGAGGCCGGAACACTCATCTCTAACAAGTGTCCAGCTTACCCCGCCTCTGCCACTGCTGCTCTGGGAGCCCCATGAGAACGGCCACCTTAGACCAGCCCTGGAGCCACGAGAAGACCTTCCAGACAGGTGACCGCAAGGAGAAGCCCCCAGAGAGCCACGTGGGCAGCAGGCGGCCGTGACAAGGAGCACAACGCTGGGAACTCTGTTCCTCTCCTGCCATGGCCCCTGTCCCAGGACACTCGGTGCATCACCACACTGGAGGACCCAAAGAGCTGGTGCAAGCATCCCCAGGAGTAAGTCAGGGAGGCACAGAGGCCAGCAGCGGGCAAGGTGGGGAGGGAGGCAGATGCGACCGAGGGCCAGCAGGGCCATGCGGGCTGGAGGACGGCGTCTCCTGCTCTGGCACCGGCCATCGAGGTTCCACCGTGGAGTGTTTGGTGCAGACCCCGGAAGCAGAAGTGTTGGAGCAGATGGACCAAGAATTTAATACAAACATGAAAAATACTGTAAATGAAATAAGAGGAGAAGTTACAAATATGAAACAACAAGAAAGTGTAAAGAAGAAACAAGCAGAAATACGGATGTGAATACTGAGTTACGGGGACAACACTGGGATGAGGCGCCCAGCAGGAGAGGTGCAGACACGGCGTGAGCCGCTGTTGGGAGGACAGACCTGACAGGGTCTCCCAGAGGCAAGCGGCATGAGAAACAACATGTATAAGAGAAAAGCCGAGGAATGAGGAGGAGGCGTGCCAACAGCCCAAAAGTGAGAATCTCAAAAAGAAACTTAAATGTAGAAAGGAAGAAAAATGTATAGGAATAATGAAGATGAATTTCACAGGATTAAAGAAAGAGGGAGGACCTCAAATTGAGTCAATAGGCATCAAAAACGAGAGACCACTGGAAAACTCGCAAGTGGGCACATTAGGGAGACATCCAGGAAGGCACGCGAGCGTCCGGAAGGGCTCTCCCCGGAGGAGCAGGGAGCAAAGGGGTCAGAGCCGCACCGACAGCCCAAGACAAGGAAGTGATGTTTTCAAAATCTGAAAGGAACGAACTTTGAAGCTAGCCACACCCTCATGGAAATGGGAAGGCCCGCTAAAGTACCGTCACACCGACTCACACTGAGAGCATCTCTACAGGAAGGAGCTAAATGAAAGGAAAAGCAACTCCAGGAGACGCCACGAGGCATCACGTGGAGCAGGGTGACCACGCACCTCGGCACAGTTTGGGTTGTCATTAAAAAAAAGTTAGGTCAAAGAAATCCTACTCAGGATAATCCAAAATTCAAATCGTGGATCACAAGCACTGTGACGGGGTTGTTGAGGGGGCGGCCAAGGAGCTGGAGGAGATGGAGTCTGGGTTTGATTCCGGGGCCCAGGAGAATCTTGGCTCCATCAGCAGAAACAAGGAAGGGGATGCATGAGCTGACAGCTCAGGTGGAGGGAGGTGGATGCAGGGAATGAGCTCTCAACAGGGGCGGAGCTGGAGGGAAAAAGGGCCCTGGAAAAGCTCAAGTCAAATGTCCCAGACACACCGAAAGAGCTTCAGGTCTTCCTCCAGCAATGGGAGGCTTGCAAGGACGAGATTCGTTGCTTGTATGTTTCTTTGAAAATGTCTGTTCTCAGAAGGTTAAGTGTTCTTTTTATGCAGTGATGAGACCAAATAAAATTACCCTTTGTACTTCCAAGCATTTGTTTCATTCCTAAGCTCTGCACCTTTTCTAAACTCAACCATAAAGAATTGGTTGATTAGATTGATTGATTAGAAAAAATTAAAAGCTTATTAATCCAATGTCCTATTTTCCCACCGAACATCCTGTTTCCTTGCCTGCTTCGCCTCTGCCATTTCACATGTGATACGTGTGATTAATTCTACCACCGCTTCTGGCTCCTTCCAAAAGCACACACAAGTCAGTCTGCCCCACATGGTGATGGGCTCTTTGTTTGAGAGTAACACACTGATATTTCTGACTGCGTTCTGCAATCATCCGGGCACCCACAGTACTGACTTTTAGGTACCCTCTAACTTCCCTGGCACGTGTAGGGTCACGTGGTGACTCACCGCCCTAACTAGGTTAACGACTACCCCGCGGCTCTACATGCCCAACAGCTGATGTCCCGCTCACAAGATAGGCTCAGTCTTCATCACTGGTGCCACAATTGTTGATTGTAAATCAAGCATTTACATTTGAATTTACCCCCCAAGAGAGATAACTGCCAGCAAGTGAAATAGGAGTAATGTTTTGGCTCTTCTATCCCAATGCCTGCCACCTGGGGACCATCACTGTCCATAAAGATGATACTTCCAACACTCAGCATCATTCCACATCTCTGCCTTTTCAACTCTGAAAGTTTGTGTCTTCCCTACGCTTTCTCAGCCCACTCCCATGCAAGATTTTGGGCCTCATCATCCCCAGCGGTGTTCCCAGTATTGAAGCTTTAACCTTTCTCTCTGCAGCCTGCTAGCCTGGCCGCTCCCACGGCTCCCTCCTTGTGGTCCACTGATCCACACCAGGCCCGTGGTCTAAGCCCACCCACCTGCCTCGGGGTTCACTCCCACAACCAGCCATGGCCACCCCGCCTCTCCCCACCCCCATGACCTCATTCACCCATTCACCACACCTAGCGCACGGCAGATGTTCAATAAACTGTGTTGAAGGAAAAATGAAATAAATTGGTTAAAAATAAGTACGGGGGTGAGGTGCGCCTGGGTGGCTCAGTCGTTAAGTGTCTGCCTTCAGCTCAGGTCATGGTCCCGGGATCCTGGGATTGAGCCCCACATGGGGCTCCCTGCTCCACGGGAAGCCTGCTTCTCCCTCTCCCACTCCCCCTGCTCGTGTTCCCTCTCTCGCTGTGTGTCTCTGTCAAATAAATAAATAAAATCTTTAAAAAAAAAAAAAAAAGTAAGTGTGGTGGGACGCCTGGGTGGCTCAGTCGGTTGAGCATCTGCCTTCACCTTGGTCATGATCCCGGGGTCCTGGGATCGAGCCCCGCATCGGGCTCCCTGCTCAGTGGGGAGTCTGCTTCTCCCTCTGCCTGCCCCTCCCCCTGCTTGTGTTCCCTCTCTATCTCTAATAAATAAATAAAATCTTTTAAATAAATAAATAAATAAAAATAAAAATAAGTATGGTAAAAAGACAGTAAATATTGTCTGTTCCAAAGAATTAAAATCAGAGTTAATGATGTAGGTTTGGAGGTCTTGCTGGTCCAGGGTGAACATTCCCACGCTGTGACCAGGTCTCCCCCAGGTGACAGAGCCTTACTTTCGCACGCCTCCTAGAGGGAAGACTTTCTCCCCAATCATGGCCAGCACACTATTCCATTCCATCAGACTGAATTTGGGTATGATAATTTTTACAGGTGGGATAAATAGTCTTCCATTTGTGAAAACACTGTAAGAATAAAAAAAAAAAAAAGCATTCATTAGTGCCTTACACTTGAGGGGGAAACATTGGAAATTCAAAGAGGGCCCTCTAATTCCAGAACTATAAGCTGCATGCGATGCGCCAGGCAGCCCTCACACACACAGCCTGACCCACGAGAACCGTCACCAAGCAGCTCAATGCTGAAAGCCTGGTGACACAGCAACACTGCAGGGAGACATCTTTTCGTAGACTATCAAATGCCCAGATGAACAGGACACAACTCCACTTTTTAAATAATATGCTTCCACTGTGGTGAGTAAAATGGAAGAAAACTATGCCCATTTGGCAAACAAAGGGAGAATTTTGCCCTTAAAAATGCAGTTATTTTCCCTTCCCACAGAGCCAAGATAGCGTCCCAAAGGAAATAATGTGCAATCCTCCAAAAAGATAACAGAAACCATTGATTTCACTTTTGCAGTCTTAAGGCAGCTTCACCATGATCCCAGCGGGTTTATTTTATTTTTTTCTGTGTCAGGCAGGGGGACAGCCATGGGGAGAGTACTCGGTGCAAAGTTCTACTGTGAATGAGGCCCTGCCACCTGCTGTAAGTCTAAAAGTAATAAATAGTATTTAACATTAAGGAGCTCAATTTTACAATTCCAGTTTTCAATTTTTTACATTATTATTTATGGTTACTCTTGTTTTATTGTTGTTGTTTTTCCTGTAATGTAAATAATTTAAAATTGGATGAATACATCTTTTTCTTTCAGAGAAAATATAAACTTTAATTCGTTTGTGCAAAATACAAAGAATCAGTTTTCTCTCCCAATGCTCTGTGGCAAGGGGCTTCCAATCCCTGCAGAGATCACCTTCTTCTATACGTAAAATATTGCCCCAAAATAAACCCGACAAAAGGTTCTGTGCAAGTTATATTACAATGCATTTATGTGACAGCACTCCTACAATAAAGACTTGCTACAATGTTTCCATCTCTTGGTTTTCCTAAATGTTTTCCAAAAGTCTTTCAAACATAGATTACTACTAGGAATAAAAGAGAAGTGTTTAAACAAGGTCATGCTGGGCACCTGCCTGGGTGGCTCAGTCATTAAGCGTCTGCCTTCGGCTCAGACCATGGTCCTAGGGTCCTGGGATCGAGCCCTGCATCAGGCTCCCTGCTCCGCGGGGAAGCCTGCTTCTCCCTCTCCCACACCCCCTGCTTGTGTTCCTGCTCTCCCTGTGTCTCTGTCAAATAAATAAATAAAACCTTTAAAAAAAAAATAGACAAGGTCATGCTGTGTTTTTGTCTAAATTTTTAAAGATACTTAACATGCATTCTTATCCTGAGTGTGGGGAAATAGGCACTCTTATGAACTGAATTGTGTCGCCCCCCCCAAACTGTGGCAGTGCCAGCAGACTAAGACACACACACACACACACACACACACACACACACACACACTGGAGCTGTTGATAAAAGTGTCACGCTCCCCTCGGGGGCAAGCTGGTCACATGGATTGAAGAAATCTGACTGGTGAAATCCAACCCATGGAAATGAAACAGAGTCATACATAAAGACTTTTCCCATAGGATTATTTATAGAAACAAAAATGTGAAAAGAACCTATATATCCAGGTACTGAGAAAAGGTTAAATAAACTGTGGCACAGCCGTACAATAATAAGTTATGCAGCAGTTTAAAATCGTTTATACAGAATTTGTATTTACAGGGGGAAAATGGTCAAATATAATTAATGCTGGAAAAAAAAACACAACAGAAGGTATGGAGAGAACATGAAAGGTGAGTGTCCTTCAGGCTACAAGTAGGACCTGAGAAGTGGGATGAGGGATTTCAATTTATTCTTTACGGTGTTCTAGATTCCCACATTTATTTATAATAAGAATGTAAAAATGGGAAAAACTACCCATATGAGTATTTTAATTTTTAAAGACAAAGAAAGGAAAGAAATGTTATCTCCAATTTATAAATTAGGAACTTACAAGTTCGGAGGGTGTGCTGGACTTAACACATCTCCCAAAGTTTGCTGGTTGAGCTGAAGAATGAACTAGACCTTCTTGCTATGCCACAATTCAAGCATCAGTCTATGGGCTACCCAACACTCCAGGTAGCTGGATGACCAACCGACCCCACCTGAATACCCAAGAACAGTTTCGAGGGAGAGCTTATGGGCGGGCAGGAGCCCCTGGACGCACGGCCAAAGCCCAGCGTGGTGAGATTAGGGCATATCCGAATTTTGGAAAACTATGTAGCCAGTTTTTTAAAGCACAGCTTCTCCATATGTGCTCATAAAGAACCATCTCCAAGATACGCTGTGTGGTGAAAAAAAGGAGGAGACACAACAGTACCCCTAGGATCCATATGCTGGCATCTGTGAGTCTGTCCTATTACGATCCTCCAGAAGTGGTTAGCAGTGGTTGCCTCCAGGGAAGTCCCTACAGATATAGGGACATAAAGTGGGAGGAATGCTTACTTTTAACGCACACCTTTTAAAGCTATGTATTTATTTACCATGGGCATAGGTTACTCTGGCCACAAAAAGTAGTTAATTTCTTTAAATTAACTTTGAAGTAAGAGAAGTTAAAGGCATAAAACTACTATTCAATGCACCCCCTAAGGTGCTCATTAAAGTTAAGTAGGAAACACTTTAAATAGAACATGTTTTAAATTGTTAACATAGGAAATATTTTAAATTTTTTAAAAATAGGAAATAGCACATGGACCTAGGAATGGACCTTAGTCAGGGGCTGATGACGGTGATGACAGTGACCCAATGGGTCCCACGTGATGCTGCTTCACTTAGTGGCAGAAGCAGGACATAAATCCGAGCCTCAGCCTCCACACTTCAAGTGCACGTGGTCTGGGCCAGCTCAATTCTGAGGGGGTCCAGACAGTCAGGGGAGCACCAGGCTCTCTCTCCGAATCCGGCGCGTGCTCAAACAAGCCACCCCCCACCACCCCACCAGCCCGGCTCCCTGCCACCCCAGCTCCCCCATCTGTGAGAAGGGAGAAACCCCTTTCTCCCTGGAACATTGAAGACCCTGGAACCCGCCACAGCTATTTTGTTGGCTTGTTTTTATAGTTACAAGGTCTCCAAGCAAACATGATCAGGTCTTTGTAGAAAAGACACTGCATTTGAATGGATATTTGGGTCCATCTAGTGGAATTTCTAGCACACATCTAAAGCAGGGAGTGCATGCTGCAGGTGTAAATGGTCCATAATAGAAAAAAAGAATGTCCGTCAAAAGAAGTGAGAATCACTGATGTTTTGGCTCGTGTCAAAAAAAAATGTAGCTTTAGGGATATGCTTCTTTGCCAAGAAGGATCCATAAGCCAGTACTGTTCCCTGAGATTTCTATACATTCTTCAGAAACAGATGTCTTTCACACGATTTGGAAATACCAGGCCTCTCATCGCTTCAAAACCGCTCTCAGATTTACAGAAGGCACAGTTGAAAGGAGAGGTGTTTTATGGAAATGATTGTCGAGGTTCTGAAGAGACGTGAAAGGGGCCAAGTTTGGCTACTAACAGGTCATGTTTCCTGCATCCTTCTGCCCCACAGTCTGGGCTCTGAGGAGTCCATCAGGGGCTTCCCACCTGACGGCCCCCAGCCCTTCGCCGGTTGGCGCGCGCGTGAAGGACACCGGGTCAGGGACGCTGACAACGGCCAGGACCGGACGTCCCCACTAGCAGCTTCCGGACACGCAGAGCCCACACTTCCGTAGAAACTCGCTGAAATGCTGTCCCCTGGGAGCAGAACATGGCAAAAGGCAGGGTACTACCTCCATCTCCACATCAGAGGTTCTAATCACAAAATACTGTAACATCCAGCACAAGAAGGATTTGGAGAGTGCCTGCTCCGCGACCGGCACTGGGCGGGCCCGTTGGACCCGCCACCAGGGAGCCCTCAGCACACGTGCGGTGCGCATATCATCAGTCCTGTTTTACAAGCGGGGACCCAGTTCAGAGACCCGGGGGGTGTGCCAGTCACAAAGACAGTAAGGTGGGAGGTGGGATTTGAGCCAATGATGGGTTTGAGTCGACCGTGTGCTTTCTACAACCCCAAACGTAAGGCAGACTGGCCCAGAGAGTGGTCTCATCCCAGACACACTGTCCGGGCACCTCAACCCCTAGCATCCACCGTGGCTCCAGGGGGCGTGGGGACTCCTGCCAACCCCATCCTGCGGCAGTCCCACGGGTCTTGGCCAGTACGAGCTCAGGGTAGGGAAACAACCCGCAAGTGTCCTTTCAACACCTACCAGCTGCAACGGCTAGCTTTAAACATAAATAAATAAATAAGAGCCTAGGATTAAATCGTGTGTGTGAAGCCCTTGCCTTTCCACCCCCATGTGAACTGTTGGACAGCAGGCAGTCGGATTGCTTTTCCAAAATCAAGGTTCAAGGGAAGAAAGGATATGTAGCGCCTGGAAGGCTGAATCATACGGGTGTCCCTGTCGGGGGCGCAGGGAGGAAGAGGGTCGCAGTGAGTCTGTCTAGCTGGAACACTGTCTTTTAGGAGCCACAGCCGTAGTGATTTCTCACCCACAAGACCTTACTCACTTAACGTGCCGGGAGGTACGGTGAAATGTTTGCCACCTGGAAGGCACATTCATATCATAATGTACCACTGGTTTGATCTGAAAAGAGGAAAAGCAAGTGTCAGAATTCAGTTCAAACTGACAAACACCTGTTAAATACCAACAGCCGGCACAGCGCTGCCCTGAAACCCAAATAAAGGTGGGGGCAGGCCTGGCTAAGAGACACACAGGGGCGGCCCCAGGAAGGGCTCTGGGCAAGCCGGGTTCCGCCCTGGGAGGGGGAGAGGACTCCCACCAGGTGACTGGGGCTCGGGGTCGGAGAGCTGTGTATTCCAGTCAGGGTAAAGGGCCAGGTGAGCAGGTGCAGAGCGGGCTAGAGCCATCGCAGAAGGTCCGGAGAGACAAGCTGTGCGGCGGTGCTCAGGACGTGCCCAGCAGCGCATCCGACAAGCAGGCATCCCTGATGTACTCCCCAGGGCCCAGCAGCCCGTCTGACAAGCAGGCATCCGTGATGTACTCCCCAGGGCCCAGCAGCGCATCCGACAAGCAGGCATCCGTGATGTACTCCCCAGGGCCCAGCAGCCCGTCCGACAAGCAGGCATCCCTGATGTACTCCCCAGGCACGCTGCTCGGCCGAACTGTGGGTCCCAAGAACGGTGGTGGCTTCTAAGTCAGGTCTTGGGGTTCGGCTAGAATGCCCTGCAAGCAGGTGAGAACACCTCCCCTTGTTCCCTGACCCCTCTGTTCTCTTTCCTGTGAATCCACCCTGAGGGGCTGAGCCACCCCTGGGGCCTCATTCAGCTCCCACCTCACACCCCTTGTGGCCTAGACACATGGAGGAAAAGGATCTCTGAGCCCTGCTTCGGGCAAGCAAAATCTCTCTTCCGTAGGGTCTTCACATTTAAGAGAGTGCAGAAAGGGGGACTGTGCTGTTGACACACTGGGGGAGGGTCAGGGCCATGGCCTCACATAGTCCCAGAGTTGCCTCGAGGCTTCTCCATCATGACCCCCTGAAAGTCACTTCCCAGCTGTGTCCCTTCCCTGTCCCCCAGCCCAGCAGGCTGGAGAGCTTGGGGCCGGTTCACCCTCCGGACCCCCATGGCCCAAGTGCCCCACCTGACACACGAGGCCTCCACATTCCCTCTCCCCGACCCCAGTCTACCCCACCTGCCTCACTCTGCCCCTCTGCACTCCGCCAGCCTCCACGCAGGACCCAGCAGCACAGCACCTTTGCTCAGGCTCCTGCCAGATTAGAGCCCTCTGGGTGCCCCCCACACCACATGCTGCCATTCCTGCCAGCTGCCTCCCTCCCCGGTGCCCTGTGAGCTCCTGGCAGAGATGCACTGAGCCCGCCGACCTCCCACCGAGTCCACCAGGAGGCCTCACCTGGAGCCCCGCCCCCAGGGGCTACACCCACCTGATGCTGCTGACCCTCCCTTCCCCATCTCCCTTCTGACCCAGGACCGACTGAGCAGAGTCACTCGGTACTGGAGCATTTGCTGCAGGCTTGGGGCTCAGGTCTGACAAATGCGCCCCTCCCTCATCGCCCAGCTCCTGAACCCAAACCTGCAACGTTGGCGCAGCTCTACCGAATTACCCAAAGTGAGTGAAGGTCACCTACACAGTGCCTTTGCCAAGAATAACACTGACCCGTGTACTCCGAGTTCACCGTGAGAGGTACGAGGAAGCCGCACGTACCATTAACAGCGGCGACAAAGTTTTGGCATCTCATGCTCTCCCCAGCATGGGTTTTTATAAAAGAGGAGAAGGAAAATCTGCTCTTCTGGGTCTTCTGAAGGCAACAACGAGCCAGCGTGCACGCGGGGCGGGGTGGAGAATGTCAGAAGGACCGAGCCTGTTCAGCATCTTGCTGCAGGCTGAAACGCCCTCAGTCAGAAGGGGCAGCTCCCTGTGAGGCACAGAGAGAGCGCAGCGAATCGGGAGGCAGCCCACTGGGTGGGAGAGCACAGCCCGTGGACGCGGACCGCCCAGGGCTCCCATCCCACACCTGCCGCTCACTGTCCATACCACTTTGCGGGGCCGATTTCACCTCTGAGCTGCAAACTGTTCATGTTGGCGGCAGGGATGATACACCTCGGGGGGAGGGTGGTAAAAGGAACAACAGCACACCTGCCACATAGTCATAGTCAATCCAATTACAACACATGCAGAGACAGAGAGAGACGCAGAGAGACGGGGGGGGAGGGACTGGAGAGAGATGGGCAGGCCGCGTGGCATCTGGATCTCACTGAGGCTCAGACAGAATTGCTGATTTCCCCCACAGCCGGCTGGCTACCCCACGCATCCCCATCTCGTGAAAGCGGCACCACCACAGACCCATTTGTTCAACCACAGAATCTGGGAGACACTGGTGAGTCCTTTCCTCCCCTACACCCCTCAACTAGCCCATTAGTGCATCTCTCAGTTCTACCTCAGAGCCGTATCCTGGACCCATCCACGGCTGCCGTGCGGGTCAGGCGGCCCCACCTCTCCGCGGCTTGTCCTCCCACCACCACGGGGGGCAGAGCCTCCCTTGTGAACATCAGTCAGAATGGTCACCCTCTGCCTCAGAGCCCATGCAGTGGAGACAGCCACACATCCACTAAAATCCCCGCTCCTCCCTTCTTCCCCACACCACAGCCCTGGATGTATTCCTGCAGCTCTCAAACATCAGGCTTGTTCCTGCGCAAGACCTTGAGCCTGGAATGTTCTCCCATGTCTGCACACCTTGCTCTTTCCTGCATTTAGAAGTCCATTTAGAAGCAACTCCTCCAAGAGGTGCTCCCTGACCAATCACACCCTTGATTTATTTCCATCTAGCATTTAATACTGTCTAATATGTTTGTGTTTATTTATTTACTTATTATTGACTCCTCCTTATTGGAATGTAAGCCTCCTGAGAAGCAGAGATCTTGATTGTCATGTTCGACAAAGGATCCCCAGAGCCTGAACAATGAGTGGTCCATAGGAGTTTGAGAAGAACGTTGTGAAATGACTGAATAAATGCTGTCATGGCAAGTGATAGGCAGCTCTGCTACCCCAGGAAGAATCCCAGAAAAAGTGAGGTCATTGAGCACGGTGGTAATGCACATGCCTACAGCCGTGTCACACTATATATAAGATTATATACACCTGCATACTGATGGCAAAAAATTCAAAGCCATGAATACCAACAACCACTGACCTAGCTTAAAAACAAAACAACAGAAATTATTATCTGCAAAACTCTATTAAGGTGCAACTACCCTAAGAGACAGCTTTCTGCTTGATTGCATAAAATTATGGAAACAATGAGCTAATTGCTTTTTTATGTGTTAATGATTCATTAACCCTGAAATCACCTGCCTAATTAAATAACCCCAGCAATTAAATACAGGATTCTGGGTTTTTTTTCCCCTGTACTGCACATAATCTCCTAAGAAAGCACAGGTGGCTTTCTGTTACTGATGGTGATGACACGTTCAGAGATCGTGTATTCGCTCATCCGCCCTGAGAGGCCGGGGGGCTCAGTGGGCTTTTAGAGCTCCTTAACCAGCAGTCTGAGGTAATTAAACCAAATCTCCACCAATGCCAGAAGACACTTAAGGTTGCCGCAGGTTATTTCCCTAAGTAGCAGCTATGGTTTATTGAATGCCCATTATGGCAGGCACTGCATTCATACCTAACCCTCAAAATAACCAGGCAAAGTACTCACGCGGTAAACAATCAGAGCTGCTTCTTATTTTCTTCACCAAGAACACACCGTTATGAAGTGTCCTGGCCACGATAAGCCATCAAAAAATATTTGATTGTAGATTTTAGCCAACTGGGGGTTTGAACCTAAGCCGGCGTGGCACATAGGAGCCTGAGTCTGAGCCATCCGTGATTCCAGCACTGTCTCCATCACCTTCTCTTTACATAACCTGCAACAGGTTGTGCACCTGTGTCCTCGTGCATGCATGTAGGTGCAAGCAGCGCCGGTCTCCTGAGGGCTGCTTTCAGTGTGCCTAACATGAGATGAGATGATGCAATTGTGGGGCGCTTAGCAAAGCACCAGGAATGAGTTAAGAGTTCGGCTGAGAGCAGTTGTTGTTTGTTGTTGTTGTTAGCTTCAAAGTCCCTGCTCTTTGCACCCCTTCGAGCTGCTCCAACTACCCTCAGCAAACATCTTCACAGCCTATTCCAAGCAAAACATCAAACAGAAAAGACTCAAGAGAGTCTAGCACCAAGAAATAGATCTCGTCAGGTAACCACATCAAGGGGAGAATCTCATCATGAGCAAATGGTGCTGCTCATCAGGGTCTGGAATGTGGGCCATGCGAGCTAAATTAACAGAGAGGCCCCTAACACCACTTGACAGAGGATGCTGAGCCTAAGAGCCTAAACAGATGTATTTGTAAAGAGACAATCACCACAGATCACAGAAACCCTACAGAGAGTGCAGTGGGCTCCCCATTTCTCATTCTGCTCATTAAGGAAATGGTCACCCTGGGCCACCTCCAAAGCCACTTTGGTTCTCATTCTGTGATCCTCTGGGTCCAAAAATAAACCAGCTTAACTCTTTCCCAAAATGTCCAGAAATCTGCAGAGGTCAGCCCCTCTGCCGCATGATGTGAGGACAGGAAAGGCAGGTGGGGGGAATCGCCCTTCACCCCCCATCCCAGGCTCCACTGCCTACAGAAATGTAGCAAATCTGGGCAAACCCTCAACACCTTCACAGCCCTCGCCCTGGCTTTACCACTGGGGACTCTGGAGGGGAGACCAGGCAACTGTGTCTAAAGCAGGGCTGGGGAAATGGGTTCTTGGCCTTCTTGGTCATGATGAGGATGAATTTTTATTTCCCGGTTTTGGGGAAATGTTGAGGGTTGTTTACATTTAAAAAAAAAAACGAAACAAAACAAAAGAACCATGACTGGGGTTTTATAATTGACGTAGCTGATATCATGTACCGTGTAAGGTTCTATCATGATTCTAAAAGTTAGGCTTTTGTTCCCTCTGGAAGGTTGGGAGGGATTGCAGGGCCACCTGTCCAGACCTCACTGGGGGTTTCTTGATGGCGATGCCACTGGAGGGGTGGGTCCCTGTCTGGTTTTCTGAGTGCCTCCACAACAGTGGCCCAA